AGGAGAGGAGAGAGCAGAGTGCAGAGCTCTCATAATGAGCAGCAAAAAAAGACCATTCACGTTGAGTTCAAAACAATTGGCTCCATAGTCTGAAGAGTGGAGGGACATAGAAGCTTGTTAATAAAAGCCGACTATTTAGCTCAGGCAGATATTCAACTATTCTCTTGATAGCTTGTGAGGCTCAGTGTTTATGTGGGTGTGCCGGTCCTCTCAGCAGACTATGAGGAACAAAGAAATCATGTCTCTGTGAAAGGAGGATGTGGTGGAGATGGTCCATCATGACCTTTATTAATCAGCCTAATGAAAGAGAAACATTTAAACCATTTAAAATATTCTGCAGCTTGCAGCAGAAGAGATGATGAAATCTCCGTTTACTCTGGACAGACCACAGAATGCCTCACTGTGGCTTTTCTTCTCGAGGTGCAGTTATAATGTCATGAGTGAAGATAGAGTAGGAAACCACTTGTGTGCAGCTGGCTCACTGCGACAGGATACACAGTGTGTCCATGTGGCATACTCTCTGCTCAGCTGGATGCTGCATTTTGCACATGGTGCACTGAAAAAAAAAAAAGCTCATCGGTCAGGTGAAGGTGAAAAATGAGTTTAATCAAGTGCATCTCAGCTTAATTGACATCTATTGCAGCCTAAATCGAATCACCATTGATATTCATTTTGTTCATAAAATTACAGTGATAGGAGACCATTTTTCAGCGTTTATCCTTTCCCTCCGGCTGTGTTCTTTAAACTTGAGGTCAGGCCTAAAGTCACAAAAGGACAATGAAATTTAACATCCATTACGAGGGCATGCAGGCGTAGTTCATGACCGTGGTTTACACCCTATATTTTAATGACCTCATGCATTGATGTAATTTCATAAAACCATAATTTCATCCATTACATCTTGATTGTTGTTGGCGAGAGATTCAGCTTTTACAGGATGCGTTATGTGCTGTAGCTGACTTTTAGAGGAAGCCGCACTGTAGGTCAGGCTAATTAAAATGAATATAAATGTGACAGGGCTGCGGCATGACTAAAATGGTGCATGCCGTGAGACACTAGCTAATCTGCGAAAGGGGTGATGTAGATGAATTAGGTGCTAATATTATCCCTCAGTCTCTGCAGCTGCTGTCGAAGAATGAAAAAGATGAGGCGGCGCGAGGAGAGATTATAGCAGGAGATTTCAGCAGCTGCTGTTAAAGGGAGGAAGGATGGAGCGGATTGAGGGAGAGGAGGCAAGTTGGGGGAAGTAAAGAAGAAGAGATGAGAGACAATCCTCTTGAGAGAGTGCATTGTGTCCTGAGAAGTTGAGGAGTTTCTCTATGTGTCATCAGCAGCCCTTCTCTTCCCACTATAGCTCTCTCTTTTCCATGCTTGTCATTTCAGTGCTTTCTTTTCTCCCTGCACACCACTTCACCCTCTTCTCTTGAGTATCCTCGTGTTTCATCGCCCTCGTTTTAAGCTCAGTCTTTCCTTTTATCTCACCCAGTAGAGATGATGGAGGACTATAGAAGAGCTGGATGACAGTGGATCTGGTGCAGCCGGATTTCGGTCGGCACCGATTGAGGGTATCAGGTTTTGGCAGGGAAATCAGAAAATTCTTTTTCAGCCAAAAACCTTTGGACTGACTTGGACGGACAGCGTTTCAAGACCTTCAACTGATATCTTTTAAAGTCTTATGGGACTTGAGGAAAGATTTCCTACTCGCAGAACTGAGTGTAGGTCGCTGAAGTCTAACTGAACATAATTTTGGCCGATCAAAGCTGAAGGCTTTCTAACTTACTGCCGAGACAGTTCTACTAAAATTCACACACATACACGCAGACAAACCCTAACACTAACTTATGATGCCTTATGTTCTTCTTGGCGCCCACTTTGTCTCAGCTCTCATTGACTTGTATGTAGCATTTTTATTAAAAGAAGAGTCCAAAAACCCAATACAGAATTTCCTCTTAGTGATTCAAATACTTGATTTTCTCTTTTCATATCCACTATGACATGATATCACTGATTAAATCCTCTGTTTTAAATTTTATTCACCTATTTGGCCGGTGATGTCTGGTGATCCCTGAACTCATCTCTTTGTTTTTTTAATGGGCTGTTGTTTTCACATCTACTGGCTGAGTGACAACCAAACACTGCACAGAGTGTCTTTGTACTGCTTCTTATCACATCTGAATTATTCATCAGAGAGAGCATTATCATTCACTAAAGCAGTGGTGGACACGCAGATAGCTCTGAATAACAGGAAACAAAGAGACAGGTATTGCTCCAGTGCAGTGCTGATGGTAAACCACAGCTGTGTCTCCCAAAAGGAGCTTTATCTCCCTGCCATGGGTTTGCTCAATGGAAAATGAATGACATATGCGGACAAATTTGGTACAAATAAATCACCTCTGTGTGTGAGTTCAAAGTTTATTAGTTCCTTTGTGCATTTTTGTACTAATCTGATATAAAACAGGAATCCAAGATCAGGTTTTATGGAAAAAAACGACATTCTTAGAAAGTCGTTAAATCTCTAATTGTGTCTTCAAACGGCACATTTTGTTGTAAAACAAGCAGTGAAATCATCTGCCAGTCGATAATAGATAGATAATTCAACTCATTTGTTTCTCCAATGAGTTTTTAAACGATTTTTTATAAACTTGGGATGTCTGATGTATTTTTTCATCTTATAAAAATCTTGTAAACATACATTTGAAATCATTTTTTATTTATTTTTATAGTTATGTTTGTTGTTATGCCTTTTTTTCAAGAATAAAAAACACTACACTACTACAAGTATAACATCCCACTTTATTGTACTTGTTTGAAAAAGTTTAGATATTTTAGCGTTTCACATTCAGACAGAAAGTGTATCTTGGCTCTGTGGATGGGGTCTCGCCCAGTGTTAAATTTGACCTCAATCTTAGTCTGGCATATAGACAAGGGAGCATGACAGCCACTTCAAATTTAAAAACACGTCTGCTCTTTTTTTGTGCCTAAGATATCTGCAGACTAGACAGGGAGGGCTTTCCCCTTTCGCCCCTCTCCCCCTGATCCCCGCCGTCAGGTCCCCCAGGGTACAGTGTGACCCATACAGGCACCCAACCGGAAGGCCCACGCCGCTTACTCTCCTCTCCATCCTCGGTTGTGCCATAGTATACGTGACCTCATTAGGGCAAACCCCACCCTCTTAACTTGCTTTACAGTATAGTATCGTATCAGTCTAACCTATTGACCCCAATGAGAGGAAAAACCCAACCCCCTAATTTCCTAAACATGACCTATTTATTGTATACAAGCAAATGTGCACCAACGTATCCAATCACCTCACACGTGTGCCCCCCCCCCCTGCTTCGTCTCTCCTGTAAGTCATTGTGTTGAGCTGGATGGCAGATTTGTTCCAATTATTTTTTGAGGCTTATGTGACTTGATCTTTCACATTACTGTAGATATAGTGTTTGATTCTGAACGTCAGACAGGAAATGTTCAAACGCCAAACACAACAGATTTGTTAAAGGAACCCGATTTGTTAGGAGAACATTTTTCACTTAAAGTCATACAGGCCACACAGAGAAATCTATTGTTAAAGAAGCAAAACCAATGCAACAGACACATAAAAGCATTATGTACTGCTGCCACTGAGCACATGTGTTATGAAATAACAGGCACACCTCACCTTTGGTCAACTATTTCACCATCATCCAATAGTGTAATTTTGATTTAAGTAGGGTGTCTGTTGATGTTATTGTTTTGAATATACAGAGGTAACCACTGCAGAAGCTCCCCAACCTGTTTAAGTCAGGATTTTCAGAACAGATACTCTTGGGAGAAAAGACAAACAACAAAGCAGATGTGTGCACAGCAGACATACTTCATAGTCCTGGCACAGACTCCCCTCCTGCATGCACTCGTGGGCGCACGCATCAGTGTATATGTTCCTTTAGTGCTATTTTTGTGTGCTTGTGTGGGTTGAGATGATGTTGAGAGTGCTCCGAATTTCAGTTTGCCAACTTCTTGCAGTGTGAATGTTAGGTATATAGAGCAGGCAGCTTTCTAAATGAGGTCTATGTATGAATATTTAATCAAAAGACACGGAGCCAAGTGAGCCAATCGCTGATGTAACAGATCTGGTGGAGCTTGTTGTACTAAACAAACTTGACGAGATATCTGAGACAGATTGCTTTGTTTTCCAAGATATTCTTGGGTATGAGAGCATGTGGTGGTATGTGATGTTTCACCGATCCTTGTAGAGATTAGCGATCATTAGCTTCTGAATGCCGTTGGAGTTGGTAGGGGTTCAGTATCTTGATCAAAGACACTTTCATAAAGATGGATGCTTGATGGCATCGAGACTTAAACTCAGGTTGACCGGTTGAAGGAGACTCCCAACCACTGGCCACATTTGTGCGCCAAAAATAGGACATCTCTACCATCCGTCTGCGTTTAACCTAATTACTCTATGACAATAACAGTCTTGCATTCAACACAGAAGTTGTTTTAAGGCTGATGAAATTATACTTTTGATCTTTAATGATAGTGTATTTGTGTTGCATTTTTTTCCTACAAGTTGTGTGTGAATGTTGCTTAACACTATATACAGCAGTGTTGTTACAATCCTTTTTTATAGATGAACTGTCAATTTAGGTTGGTCGTATGCATTCCTTCATCTGTCAGAAACGAACTATTTCAAGCATCTATCCATTACTTTGACAATTACAGTTTGGACTGTTTATTCATTACTTTTAGATAATTGTTTGAACTGCGTGTCAATTATTTTCTTGCTATTTGGACCATATCCTTTATTTTAGCAAACTATTTTAACTGTTTATCTGTTGCTTTTAGCTGTTTTAATTATTTATTCTTTTCTTTTAGCTAACTATTTGAATGGTTCATCTATTACTCTTAGCTATTTGAACTGCATATTCGGCAGTGCCCCGTGAGGTACAAGTACCCCTGGTGAGGAATCTTTAACATGTGAATATTAACTGACACGTCTTCCTTGTCATTGTTTCTTTTAGTTGGGATGAGAGCAGTTCTATCAGCAGTGGTCTGAGTGACGGCTCAGACAACCTGAGCTCTGAGGAGTTCAACACGAGTCCCACTCTCAACTCCCTTCCCACCACTCCAATCGGCTCCCGCAGAAACTCAGCCATAGTGGTAAGTAAGGTACACGCAAGCATACACACAACATTCACAACACACAGCCGTCTGCACAGATTAATCAGCAGTATGTGTGTGTTGAATACAGTAGTATTAATTAAGCTTTTAATCCAGTGAGGTATTGATTAGGTGCTGAATGATGTGTCATACACTCTGGCAGTGCGCTGACGACACACACACACACACACACACACACACACACACACACACACACACACACACAGACAAATACACACAACAGGCAGTGGGACACTGGCATCAGAGACAAAGCCTGATTAAGTATTCTAAGCACACCTATAACATTTATCACATCTGCAGCGATCAGCATTCGCCGCAACACACACTGCATGGCGGACAGCTGCATTGTTCCACAAAGCTCCCTTCTGGTCAGTCAGGCTAATTTTGGAGATTTTACAGAAAAATGGTCTGAAAGCAATCAGCTAGCGGAACCATAGACCTATAATTGATAGTCGATGATCTAATTTAATCCATAAAAAATCAGGGAAAAACATTCAATAGCCCTAAAATCTCATACGTACGCCCCCTGATTCAGCTAGTTTAGAGAATGTACTTACGGCACACTTCGGTAGTATAATTAGCCTGACTGACAGGAGTTAGAAACAAGTGTCCTGAGTGATTATGTTTGTTCTCGCAATACACTGAAGTGCACTTCAAGTAATGCGGTATTAAAAAATCTGCTGTGGGAATGGGAGGATTTGGGACTCGTGACCTCAGTACATCTAAAATCCTGTCTGCAGCTCTGCTTGAGTGTCTTTAAGATCTCCATCTGTAGCTGTAGCTGGTTCCATACAGTGTGTGTGTGTGTGTTTCCCAGAGTGTCTGATTTAGGTCACACCTCCACAATGTGCTTTATGTTACTACTGTCATGGGATTTAAGAGGGAGAGAGACAGAGAGAGGCAGAGAGAGTTAGAGAGAGAGAGAGGGGAAATCAGTGTAACCATAGAAACCAAAGTGCAGGGATGCTGAGAGCGCAGGTCTTTGTCTTCTCTCATATATACTGAAGGACAGGTCTAGAATGTGGCCATCTGCACACAGACACACACACACACACACACACACACACACACACACACACACACACACACACACACAGAGACACACAACCACACACACACACACACCCATGCACACACACACACACACACACACACACACACACACACACACACACACACACACACACACAGGGACATACAACCACACACACACACACGGCCATCTGCAGTCCCACATCCAGGCCAGCGAGCTGGAAGAACCAGGGCGCCTCCCTCCACGCCTTGTTGCAGGAGTCATAGCAACCATTGCCCCCCTATGGCATCATTACCATGGCAACCAACCATCACATCATCATGCACCCAACATCGTCTAATACACATGGCTCCCTGTTCTCTCACCGTTGTCAGCTGATGTTTTTCTTTATCGGTTTCTCTTTGTCTTTGTTTCCTTAAGCCATTTCTTTGTTTCTATTTTCTCCTCTGTATTACTTGTTTTTTTGTTGTTGTTTTTTTTTTTTTTGCTCCTGTTGATTTTAATTTCCTCAAAAAGCAACTCTCCTCTCCCACATACTGTATGTTATACTCAACAGGGATATGAGGTTAAATGAGAGAGGGGTAATGAGCAAAGGGGGCACGAAGAAGACATGTTGGAGAGAGGGAAAGAGAGAATCAAAGCCAGAAAGTGGTGTATGTAGGTGGTACAAAAACCTGGATTTCCTCATTTCAATATGGAGGTGGATCAAGTACTTAAGTTAATACACCTTGTTTTCCCAGTAGCTTTGTGTGTGTGCATGTGTCTGCCTATCTGTCTCACTGTCTGTCCGTTTTGTGTTGTTATCCATGTTTTGTCACGGCTATCTGGCCAGATGTGTATCTCATCCCCCTACTCTGTTTCAATAATCAGGGAATGTGTGTGAGGAAATGACAATGTTTTATCAACAAGGTCTGGTCAGACAGGACACACACACACACACACACACACACACACACTCACTCACACATACCTCCTCCTCATGTGATGTGAACCTGCCCATGGGGTCTATTGGTTTTAATAAAAAAGGAATTCAGCATATGAGTCTTCATGAGAACCGTTGGGTGAAATGTCCTGAACTGGCACACACATGCACACACACACACACACACACACAGACATACACATTCACACACCTCCTGATACATTGTGTAACTGTCGGTCCCCTACAGGGGGAAGTATAATCTGCTTCTGTGAAAACTAGCGATATCCGTCCTGGTGTAGTCTCCCATAAACAGTCACACACACACTTATACAGGCATTTTGTACTGGATGTATTCACCACATACACACACAGAAGACCTTGACTCAGTAATGGCCTCATTTTCACATTTCCTTTAGTTTGACATTCTTTTTTATTGTATTATTTTTAGGCTGGTGTTTTGTATTTTCTCTGTCAGTCTTTGTGTCTGATATAATATTTGTGTGGTAGTGTGGTGTGTGTACATTACATACTGTATGTGTGTATTTGTTGCGCAGTCCCCCTGCTGTCTCTGCCCACTTCTTTTGAAGTGTTCAAACAGAGCATACAATAGGATTTAGACTGCGGAGAAGAGACATCGGTGACTGAGTTTTTTGGGTTGACAGGGTCAAACATGTTTTTCTGCTCAATGGACATCAAGATGAGGCAGAGTCTGAGTCCAAACACCCCTCATCGAATTTTCAAACTGTGACCCATGATGAGCACTTGAGTACAGAATTGAAGGGATACACAATGTCTTTGCATAAATGATCCAGTGACTTGTTCCATTGGAGCATTCATCTCGTTTCCCCAGCTAACTCTGCACTGTATCACTCAGAGTGTAACTAGATTTTAAGTAATAAAAAGGTGTAGTGTTAAGTGTGATTAGTATAGTACAAATACAATTCAATACAGTACAATTCTTAAAGTCGGAGTCAAGTTGGATTTATTGTGTATTTTATAATAATTTTATTAGTGGCACAGAAAAAGTTGGAGTTTTGATGTCCACCGAACCGAAAGAGGACTGAACTCTTCACCTAACCATGTTCACTGAGGGAAATAGAGAATCATGTGGTTAAAATGTCCAAATGTAGTTGGGCAAAAAAATCTCAAACTCAGATAATCCCATTCTCCTAAAGATTATGTTGGCAGCAAGTAAAAAATGTCATTATAAAATACTGGCTTCAGAAGAACTGTCCTACTGCTGCACTCTTCATCAATATTGTCAAACATCTGCATCTTCTGGAACAGATGACTTACTCCACACGACTCCAAAAAACGACTGGGAGAAAAACAGTGGGAAAAATGGTGTGTTTATTTAGCCAAGGAGACAGATCGTGTATTGTATGTAACTTAATAACTCTTTTGAAATTATTATATATTTATCATCCCATGACCTCATATTTGGTGTTCCCCTTTTTTTCCTGTCTGTTATGTTTGTCCCCTGCCTGTTGTTCTTATGACATGAAAAATGTTCATAAATAAAAACAATCCAAACTCCAGGTCCACTTATTAGCTTTTCCTGGAGCTTTTGACAGTGTCACATCAACAGATGGAGGTTGTTCAGGGGGCAGATTTGTTGACACAATGATTTCATGTTATTGTGGTTATGATTTCATCCATAGCGCATCTACAAATGTAGATTAAGGCTATACTAGCTAACCTGTGCCTATCACTCAAGTTTTCCTGTGGCTACTTTACAAAAGAAATAAAAAGGTAGTCATGTAGTAGTCAAAAACCTCAGTGTGACAGGTGCTGAATACAAAGGTCACTCACTTTAAAACAATACATCACTAATAAACCAGTCACCAGTCTTTCCACTGTGTGGAAGAGTCACCCCCCACAATAAAAGCCATATGCAGTTTTTATGTGAATCTGGAAAAGCTTATTTTCTCTCTCACTGTCTCATTCTTAAGAAGCCACGGTCCCATGATGCTTCTGCTCACTTTTGTTTTTCAAGTCTTAATTTAAGGCTTTTTTAAAGATTTACTTAAGTGGGTTGCCTTAGATTTAGCTGGGCAGGGAAAAGCATACCTGTAAAGCACACAAGCTACCAGAGACACACAAATAAATATATTGTCTCCATGTTCTTTAAGTCAGATCTCATGCACTCACTTCTTAAAGCATTTTCTCAACGCAGAGTCTCTGAACCTGTATCCGTCTTTTCTCTCTGTAGATGCGCACGGATGCAGAGAAGAGATCTCTGGTGGAGAGCGGTCTGTCCTGGGACTCTGATGATACCAAACCCAGCCGCAAGAGCCAGGGCGGCAGCATCTACGACACAGGAAGTCTCAAGTCTGAATCAGCCAATAAATGGAAAAAGACAAGGCCGCCGGGGGAGGGGCTGGAAGGAGGGAAGGGCGAACTTAAGAAACCTCAAACCCTGGGTCAAGGAAATGTGTTGAAGAAAGGAAGAAACCCACCTGTGGGAGTCACATCCCCGATCACCCACACCTCTCAGAGTGGGTTGAAAGTAGCAGGTAAGTGGAGAAACACACACACACACACACACACACACACACACACACATAATGAGGTGTAATATATATAGCTACAGTTGAAATGGTTTCATAACCTGAGCAGACTGACACATTTCTCCGGCTGTCCTTTAATATTCCCTTCTTCCTGGCAGTCCCACACCCACACACAGTCACAGACACACACACTGTCTTTGTCCCACACATTCATCCACAGCTGCAGCCCACCCTCTGGGCCTTTAGAAAGTGGTGCCATGTATCAAACGCCCATCACCACCCACTCCCTTCCTGCCAGCCAACCACACACACACACACACGCTGACCAACAGTGTTTTTTTTTCTTCCTATTGGGCCAGCCTTTCCTATCCAAGCTTTATTTTTGTGTCGGACAGAGAGAATTTATAGAACTAAGATAAAGGCCTTGTACCCAAAACAACTGGACCAGAGACTCTGTGTGTGTGTGTGTGTGTGTGTGTGTGTGTGTGTGTGTGTGTGTGTGTGTGTGTGTGTGTGTGTGTGTGTGTGTGGACAGGGTCTGATATTGTGCCAGCCTTAAAGAGTGTCACCCTTCACACACTCTGACACACACAGAGCACAATAGTGAGGATTGTGCAGCTGCCTTTTAAGCTCACCATCTGTGTGCTGTTTACGTAAGCACACCCACACACCCACACACTCACACACACACACGTATAGACAACCAAAACAACAGGATATTAGTTGTGCTGTTGTGTGCCAGTCATCATGGGCAGAGTCTGTGTAAATAGTCCTCTTTCTGTGGAACTGTCCTGTGTTTGCATTGCCAGCTGTTGAAATGACAGATATGCCAAACAAAAGTGTTGACCCAGCCTGTGATCTATGAGCCAGACTGTTATTGTTACTGATGTCAACGGTATTAATCTGCTATCAAGGCTACTCAGTCCACCACCAAGTTTCAGGCTCTAATCAATCAGATGATGAGGTCAATTGAAAGCAGACTGGAAAAGGTTGAATGTGGAGGAGCTCATGAATTTAACCAAATGAGGGGTAGACATCCTTAGACAGTTAGAGAGGTCTTTATTGCTCATGCTTGAGTTCAGTTCATTGCTGAGGTTTGGCAGGATGGTGCGCATTTCCAAGAATAGACAAGCGCTGTGTCACATTTCCATACTATGTGGAATTAAGTGTTCAGACCCCTTCATTTTTTCATGTTTTGTCATGTTAAAGTAACAAAAGATTAATTTAATTATTTTTTATTTTTATTATTTTCTACAAAATAAAATAGAAAAAAAATCATCAATATATCCTCAGTATCCCATAATGACAAAAAATTTTTTGCAAATTCATCAAAAGGTTAAAAGTAAAATACAGACCCTCTGCTATGACACTTGAAATTTATTCTTGAACAACAGATGTTTCTACACCTTGACTGGAGTCTGACCGTGGTCAATGCAGCTGATTGGACATGATTTGGAAAAGCACCCACCTGTCTATATAATCTCACTGCTGACAATGCATATCAGAGCAGGACCAAGCCATGAGGTGGAAGGAACGTCCTGCAGAGCTCAGAAATTGGACTCTGTCGAGACACCGATCTGGGAAAGGATACAAAAAGAAAATCAAGAGCACAGTGGCCTCCATAATTCTTAAATGGAGGAAGTGTGGAACAACTAGGACTCTACCTAAAGCTGGTCGCCCAGCCAAACTGAGTTGTCATGGGAGAGATCCTGAGTGGAGATGGGAGAAACTTCCAAAGGACAACCAAGAATTGAGGCCAAACTGTTCAATCTTTGTTTCGTGAGGCCAGAGAATCTTGTTTCTCACAGTCTGAGTCCTTCGGGTGCTTATTTTTCCAAACTTTCATTGAGACTTCTGTCTGGCCACTCTGACATAAAGCCCAGATCGTTTAAGCGCTGCAGTGATGGTTATTCGTTTCTCCCATCTCCACACAGGGTCTCTGGAGCTCAGCCGGAGTGACCATCAGGTTCATGGTCACCTCTCTTACCAAGGCCCCTCTCCCCTGATTAGTCAGTCGCTGATTTTGGCATAAGGCTGCAAAATAACAAAATTGAAGGGGTCTGAACACTATTTTCATCATTGTTTAATCTGTTGATTATTTTTACAGTTCTTCTGTTAATCATTTAAAATATCTAAATCAAAAATAGAGAAAAAAAAAACTCTTCACAAGTTCCAAAAGCACAAGGTGACCTTGTCAAACAGCTTGACAGCTAAACGATTACTTAATTATACAATTGTTATTGTTTTGCACACTTTAACACTTTGCCTCAAACTCTTAAACTTATTAGAGGTCAAATTGACTTAATATATGTTATATATTTTATATACTTAATATAGTAAATTTACCACTGCTTCTGCTCTTTACCGTATACATACAGCATCTCTTGCATGTCAGTCTGTCCTGTAAGAGCAAGCCCTCCCCTCTTGCTCCTCAAACATCAAGGGTCCAACGACAGAGGCTGCTGTGTGTTGTTCACATTGTAAAGCCCTCTGAGACAACAATAAAACTGAAATTGACTAGACTTGACTTCTGCCAGTTAAACTTAACAAGGAGAAGTTCACATGTTTTTCCAAAGAATTAATACTTTCTTTTGTGTTTTCTGAATGTCCATGGAGCCTTTAAACCACCGTCCACTGTGTGTGTTAATTTTTTCCAGCTGCGTGCATCGCCTCTATGTCTCTTGTGCATTGCATTATGGGACTATAGTGTCCAAATTCAAACTGATTTAGTAAGCATTATGACTGCACCACTGCTAGGATTTGTATGTAGTTTGGAATTGGGACACAGGGCAGGTGTTCATCATTCTGTCGGCACTGAGCAAATGACATATGACGGTCATTTGTCTCCATCTTGGTTTTCTGTCACATGGGGTCAGACTGACACACATCTGCAAATACATTCAGCCAGCTTTCTGCAACAAACGTTTACAAACCTCCCCTGTACATACAAATCGACACTGATACTGTATCTCAACAACCACACACGTTGAGGGTGTGACGGTTGATGGGACTGGGAGACGATGTCAACAGAATCGAGGCATCTAGAAATGAGACGGCTTGTGTTTCTATATCCATGTGTGCAGTATTAATCTTCATTCCAAATTTTCCTCTTTCCACTGCGCCCATCTCTCCCACAGTCGCCTTAAATAGAAGAAGACTGAGGGAAGAAGAATTCAAATGAGCCGTTTTCCTTTAAGAGATGGCAGTGATGGACATTTTATGCAAAGGATTTCTCTGTCTGCCACGACGTCTGAATTTCACCAGCGTGTTCAGCTCTCCATCTCCTCAGACACGCAGGCCTCTTGCGTCGAGACATGCAGTGATTCACAGTCTCTTCTACACACGCCACCGTGTCAAACTGGGAGCTCCACTGTCTCCACAGCCGGTGTCAGTAAATCAGGCTTCATATATGTCAGAATACATATAATATGCCCTGCGCCTGGGTTCTGTCAGTGTGTGTCACTGCCAACAGTGTGTGTTTCTGCAGCCCAGTGTTCTTGGAAGGGGCAACGTTGCGGTTACACGATGGATTGAGTTTATGACTTGACATGTAAACCCAATTTTCACATTTACAAAAGAACTCCAAGCGTAATGCGTTGTCAGTGTCACATTCCTATATGATCTGATCACTGAGAACTGTGAGTGTGTGTGTGGTATATATGTCTGCCCTTTTGTGTGTGTATGTGTCTTTTGCGGGTTTATAAATACCCTTAAGTGACTCCAGATGTCCCCAGGCAGCACGCCGGTGGGTCTCATTCAACAGCAGTTCTTTGACTCTGTTAATGTCTTGTATATAAACCTCCCATAACAACTCCCATTAGATACAAATTAAGAGCGTGGGTAGTGTGGACTCGCACTTGTGTGGGTGGTACTTACAGTGCACATGTGTCTAATAGTCTGTTTTTTCTCATAATAACTTCCAAACAAGTCCAATTAATTTGCCAAGAGGGAAATGTACGTAAGTGTACAAAATCACCCCTGTTCCACCAAGTTATCTTTCACTCCGCCCTCTTTCCCCAAAGAGTCTTCAAGAGTGGAGAAATCCAGCTACACTGGGTGTTTCATGCAGTTTTGTGCCCACAGACACGCTTCATGAACGTGAACACCACTTTTCCACAGCCATGTTGCACATGTTAATCTCAGCACTCCACAGCTGTGACACACAGACGTGTACTTACTGGAAAGTCGGAGAAAACTATTTTAGTTCATTGGGATGGAAAAGAGGAGTAACTGCGTGATAACAGTGTGTGTGTGAGGGTGAAGCTGGCTGTGAGTCTGGTCTACACACGGTCTCTCTGCTCAGACAAGGATATGCTGTTATCAGCTGACAGACAGACCTTGTAGGTGTTGAGATAAGATATCATGTCCTAATATGGCTTGGTTAGTCTCTCTCACCACGAGAGGCTGTTCAGGAATTAGTCAGTTCATGCTACTCACCAGTGATGTTTTTTTTCCTCCTCTACCTCTCTAGGTACAGTAAAGTCAGATGGGAAGCCCATGGATAAGTCTCGGTTAGCAGTGAAGACTTCAGGTCTTCAGCGCTCCTCTTCTGATGCTGGTAAAGACCACCGGAATGGCACCAGTGGTGGTGAACAACGTAAACCTCCATCCGGCCTGGTCAGGCCCTCAACGGGTGGAAACTTTGGCTTCAAGAAACCCACCACAGCTACCAGTAATGGGACAAACAATGCCAGTATGCACACTGTGATGAGCACAGGTGGCAGTGCCATACCCAGCGGCTCTGCCACTGTGGGGAAGATTCCCAAAACATCGGGTATTCCTGTCAAACCAGGTGCTGGTGGTGGTGGTGGTGGAGGACGTAAGACAAGTCTGGATGTTTCAAGCAGCGACCAGAGTGGTTTTCTGTCGCCTAATGCCAGGACGTCTCTCCAGTACCGCTCTCTGCCTCGTCCTGCCAAGACAAGCACCCTGACTCTAACCCGGCCGAGCTCAGCTCGCCCAGTGAGCACTACCATGGACACAGGCTCTGGACTGATCAAACCCTCCACTACAGCACCCCAGGGCTCGAGGCTCAAAGAACCCGCCTCAGGGCTTAACTCTGGAACAGGGTTGAGTAAGGCAGGGGGTCGTGGCATCCCAAGTCCCAGTCCTGTCAATCAAACAGACAGAGAGAAAGAGAAAGAGAGAGCCAAAGCCAAAGCTGTTGTGTCTGACTCTGAGTGTGGAGGCGCGTCTCTGAAGGGCAGTCCTGCTCAGACCCCCTCAGAGAACGGAGGGAAGCTCCAGGGTCTAAGACCTCCAAGCACTCTGCCCTCACCCAACACACACAGGTACCAAAGTTTATATACTACAGTCGAAAATATACATGCAGTAATTTGTCAACCAATTCCATCACATTAGCATACAAAATGAATTCTGAATATGCATTTGCTTCAACATTGTCTTGTATTGTGTTCAGATTATCTGGGGTACGCAGCCTGGTGAAGCCTCCATCCATGGCCCAGCTTGATAAGCTGAACTCCAACAGCCTGGAGGTTGGGGTACAGGACTCCCTGCCTCCAAAGATTCCCCCCTACTCTAAGCTGCAGGACCTGGCTAGCTCAGCAGGCAGTTCCTCTGGCTCCTGCCTGACCCCCAGCCCTGCCCCATTACTCAACGTGAACTCTTCGGCCTGCTTCTCAAGCTCTGGGATAGGGTTGGGGCCCCGGCAGGTCTCTTCACTCGGAGTTGAAGGGAGCGGAGGAAGCACCTCTCCCCTGCTCTACCCTCGTCTGTCTGGGCTGCATCGGAGCATGGAGTCGTTGCCCCTCCAAATGAGTCTGGCTCCAGAGCCCCAGGAGAGGGAGAAGGTTAGAGAGCGGGAGAGTTTGGTGAGAGGCTACACCACCATAGAGTCCAGAGACAAAGAAAGACAGGAAGACAGAGGCCCTCCTGCCAGCTGGAGCTCTGGAAGTAAAGTCACGCTGACTCTCACAGACAGGTGAGTTAAATTATCTTTAGCCATGCGTATATTTTAAACCCAATCAGAAAGCAGACATTTTTTTTTTCATCCATATTCCATTACTACTGCCATGTAGCTCCATCTACTGGTTAGCTGAGGAACTACACCAGCATCATTCATTGTTCATGGGAGGCACTTTTTTCTTCACTACAATCACACATTCTGCTCCTGTTAAGAGTGGGCAGGTGAAAAGGTGATCTGTTTGGCATTTAACGACAAAATGCTCTGCATACAGAAAAAGGAGTATTTTTACTACAACTGCATTTATGAAGAGCAAGAAAGAACCCTCATTTACACCTACAAAGATGAGATAGGAATAAAAATGAAGACATAGATTGGTAGAGATGGTTTTATATCATTACCAGCATATATCAGAATATATTTATGAATAATATTTTAGAGGTAGGCGTCTGTGTGTGACAGAATGTGCAATAAGAGATGTTAATTGTTTCCCAAATTCTAGAAACATAACTAGTTACATAACTATTTGTCGTAATAGAAAGGCTTACTTACATTATGAACTCAAACAACAAGTTAAGGCAACCACTTGGATGCTCACCCATCCATACGTACACACACTCACACACTGAGGGTTCACCAGGCTGTTATTACTACAGGCCTATTATCAGTGTTGTACCGGCCCCACTGACTGAAGTCATAATTACTGGCTGACACCAGCTGTCTGCCAGTCTTACTGTGCCTCTTTGTGCCTGCTGCCTGTTCTTGAGAGTTTAATAACTCCCTGCACCAGTGGTTAAATAATGACATTGTTTAATCTCCACAGTTCTCAGAGAGACAGAAACACACTGCCAAAGAAAGGTTTAAGGTAAGTTAAACCTTTAACACACACACACACACACGTACTACAGCTCCACGCGTCATACACCAGACCATCAGGCTGGGATTGTTTGACGCCATTTGGGCACAGTCTTTTAATTGCACACATACAGAGATCCCATTGATAAGATCTGTTCTGAATGACAGACTGTGTTAATCCTGCCCTCAGGGCAATTAGACATCATTCCTTTCACTTGTATTCCAAAACCCTGCCTTAGTCCCCTCAAAATTGTATCTCATTTGTGTCATACTCGCAGCATTTTGTGTGTCTTTCCACGCTGATACTGGTGCTGTGTATATAAAGCAGAATTTCACTGGACATCTTCTGAGTAATGTAAAGTTTATGCGGTGTAGAGCCATGCAAAGATCTTCCCTGGGACTGAGTATAAAATTATTATTATTGTTTATGTTTATTCTGTACAATAATATAATCTCATATTGAGATATCATTGTTCACATTAGGGCTGTAGCTGATGATTATTTTCCCTATTAGTCATTCTGCTAGTTATTTCCTCAATTAATCATTTATCATTTGAAATAAGTTTCAGACAATAGTGAAATGATTATAATTTCCCAGAGACCAAGGTGACATGTTCAGATTTCATGCTTCGTCTGACCAACAGTTAAAACCTAAAGATATTCATGTTACTATCAAGTAAAATTGATGACAGCAGTAAAGCCTCACATGCTGGAACAACAAAAACAACTAAAACAGACTGGATTGATTATCAAAATTGAAGATTTATTTTCTGTCGATTGACGTATCGATCAGTTGACTAATTGTTGCAGACATAGTTCACAATTAACACTCTAAACGTATAAATAGTTGATTTTTTTTTACAAAACTAGACAATTTCCCAGAGGTTGTATGTGAAGGCTTTACTGCATATGACTGAAAAAGAAATTGTATGCGCTTGACGGATTTTTCAGAACTCTTCTTTCTTTTGACTTTAAACACGATGTTGCCAAATGTCCACAGAGTTTGCATAGCATTGTACATGGATTTTAATGTATAACAACAAGTCTACAATGAGCGACAGTTTCTTTATTTGCCATTAGTACACAAACTTTTACCACAACATGACTGACTTTGTCCTCTGTCTGTGTAGTTTCAGCGGTGCCTCCCAGGTTGAGGAGGAAGGGAAGGAGAAAGGAGAGAGGAGACACTCTCACACTATTCTCAGTATGACCGATTCGCTCACTCTTCCACTGATGTCCTCACCCACCTCCCTGCCCCGCACCTCTAAAACCAGTCTGGGTATGTATACATCTGAGCATAGACACACACTCTAATATATATACTGAGTTGAAAAGTGCTACTCTAATTACGGATTGGTATAATTTCATGTATCACATCGTTTTCTTACTAGTACCCAGCCCTGTCGGCGGTCCTCCAAGGATGACTCGATCCAACAGCATCCCAACACACGATGCCTCCATGGAGCTGTACGGGGCGTCTCCACTGGGCAGCACTCTGTCGCTGGCCGAGCGTCCCCGCAGCATGGGAATGGTTCGCTCCGGATCCTTCAGGGACAAAGAGCCAGATGAAGGTGAGTCCTTTGAATGATTTTGATATCTGTTATGTATTGTTCTGTTAGGTGTTGTTGGGCAACTCTCTAATTGGTTTATTTTGTTGCTCTTGATTTTTCATTTTCAGTCCATGGGTCTGTACTCTCCCTGGCATCCAACGCCTCGTCGAGCTACTCCTCGGTGAGTGTGGGCGGCATGCAGACTCAGGTAGATACTTTGAACACTTTGAACAGTAAATACTAAAAACAAGACTTTCTCCCTTGGAAACATCTCCTCTCTTCTCCTCTCCTCTCCTCTCCTCTCCTCTCCCTCTGTGTCTTATCTAACATCTTGACTTTTATTCCCCCTGCTTCCAAAGGCTGAGGAAAGGATTCAGGGAGAGGTAAGTGTTTTCTTTCCTGCAGTCTCTCCTCCTCTGTTTCATCACTTTCTTTCCTTTCATCCATCCCTCTCATCCCTGTGCTCTGTGGTCGAACAAGTCTTGTTATTCATTTCACGAGCACCATCCACTCTAGTCACTCATGTAATGTCAGCCGTTGTCAGCTTTAATGACCTTGGGTCTTTTGTAATACAGCATTCTCTTGTTTCTCCTCACAGCAAATCCGCAAGCTGAGGAGAGAGCTGGAGTCGTCCCAGGAGAAGGTGTCTAACCTGACCACACAGCTGACAGCAAACGTATGTAGTGTTTGTGTGCTAACCTCATTAACATGACATGACCACTTGCATAAAGTGCTTTAATAACATATTTTTCTTAGTGAGTTTCTCGAGATTTCAGATGAAATTCAGATGTATTCATTTAATTTAATGTCTTCAAGTATTCTTAAAGATATAACACTTTATTTCCAAGTGCAATTCAACTCTTACATTTTCCATTGTGCACATCTTCCTAGCAATGAAAATACCTACCTTACCACCATTGGCAGCTTTGAAATTTCATTTTTTTCAATGTAAAACACTGAACAAAACAAAAGACAGCCAGAGACTGCCAACCACATACTATAGGCAAGAATGTCTGAAAATAGCAAATTCAGCTTAGATAAGTAAAAAATGATCTGATAAGGAAGCGGAAAAACGCAGCTCCATGCAACCAGACACTACTCTGTTTGAGTGACATTGTCATGTTATCTTTTAAGCTACAATATGCAACCTTTTACCTTGAGGCAACTGAAGAATTATTAGTAGCCCCTCCCTCTGATTTTACACCCCAATACTTGTCACTCATCTTGATGAACTGTCCACCTCGACCGCATGAGCCCTGAGGCTGAAGTAACTGATACTCACGCAGACACCATCAGTGTTGAACAAGGGATGGCAGGCAAAGAAGGATCAATGTCAGGGTGCCGTTAGCTTTGTTGTTCTTTTGTTTCTTACTGCTCCTTTCATTTGCCTTTTTTTTCCCCATGATTAGAAGAATTTTAGTTAAGCTGTTTTAATGTAAAAACAACAATTGCATAGTACATTGAACCTCTTTCAGATTAGGTTAGAATACCAGTTTATTGCAGCTGTGGTTTTTTTTTTTTTTTTGCCAGTCAGTGGGTTCAGGCCTCAATCCTTTGCCTTTCACTATTTTATCCATTCATCCAAACCTCTTGCTGCCATTCTTCTCACACAAGTCAAGGAATCTACCCCTCATATAAAATAGCATAAAGACACACGGAGAGAGATTTATTATCCAAGCTGTGGTATGTCAGTCATAGATCATTTCTGTGCAGTCTCAGCACATTTCTTATCCGTGCGGGGCCTGAATAATGCTAACCTCCTCCTGAACCTCTCCCCAAGCCACTTAGCTTAGCCACACACACACACACACACACACACACACACAGGTGCCTCGCCCTTTCTTTCCACTCTGAAAGGTTGTTTCTGAATGACCACCCTGTCAGCGTTTTCATTGGTCCAAGTGCGTGAATACAACAAAGGCATTATGCAGTACAAATCAATCAAGTGTGTGTGTGTGTGTGTGTGTGTGTTTTCCCCTGGGATGGTTTTTTCCATATTGTTTGACCTTATTAGGCAAAACATGCACACATCACAGTATAATTAAATTAATGACTGGGCTGTATCCATTATTTTAACGTATTAATACGTTCTAAAAAGAGAATGGAAAGTCATTTTCTTTTCCTCCTCTGAGCTAAAGTGGATGTGTGTGAGAGAGAGATTAGAGAGGAGGAGAATTTTCCCCAGGAGACATCCTTTTCAGCCTTTGTGTGTTATTCAGCTTTTTAACACCCTGTGTACAAGGAATGAAAGTCAAAGCAGATGTAAAATGTGTTCCTGAATAGGTGTGAAGTTCTAGCCAGTCTCCATGTGCTTTCTGATGTTCTTTCAGAATCAATAATGATAAAAAAAAAAGTATCAGTACATTTATATCCTGCTAGTTTCCTGTTACAAATATACATATATAAAGGGTCTGCTTGTGTTTTTAATCTTGAACTTATGCCTTTTCTTTTTCCAAGCAGGCAAATCTGGTGGCTGCATTTGAGCAAAGTTTGGCATTGATGACAACACGACTTCAGAGTCTGTCAATAAGCCATGAGCAGAAGGTAACACCACACAACACAGCTGCACTTTCAAATACACACAAAACTGAATTATAGCTGCATTCCACCATTTGTGCACAACGTGTGAGCAGTGAGCTAAGGGGAAGCAGCGTTTGTGCAAACATGGAGCGAGGTGACTTTGATCACAGCTTGCAGCGAGGAGCTAAATGTAGGTGAGAGGCCGAGGCTGCAGTTACACAGGGAGGGTTTATGTGAGAAAAGGACAGCGGATCAATGAAAAAGCAAAAAAAAACCTTCACTGTTGGGCTGAAGAATGAGCTCAAAGTGCAAAACATCTGCACGTGGACTCACAGCAAACATCACATTCCTGCATTCTTCTGCCTTTGTATCGGTTTTGGTGCGAATAAACTGATCGGTGCCTGAGGCGATGTTCAGTGTGTATTTGTGTGAGTTAGTGAGTGAGTGAGTGAGTGAGTGAGTGTGTATGTGTGTGTGCATTTGTGTGCGTGTGTATGTGTGTGTGTGTGTGTGTGTGTGTGTGTGTGTGTGTGTGTGTAGAAGTGAGGAGTCTCTCTCAGTGCTTCATGCTTTGCTGCTCCCACTGAAAGCCCCGTCTAGACCGCTCCAGAAAGTCTTTGTTGTCCGTGCCAGCGCACTGACCTGTGCAGCTCAGCCTGGAGCACGGGCTCTTTAACCTTGAGGAGATGGGCCCGGTGGCTCCATTTATAGTGGAGTGGGATCGACTTTAGTGCACAATAAGCGGCACAGAGAGGCTCAGCTGTTCTGGACTCTTTGTCCTTTTGAACTGTTAACATCGTGACGGAGGTCAAGCCCATGACCTCGTACTGCGGGTTTGAGTTGCAGTGCTTGACTAAAGCATCAGGCAGTAGCGCGCCCTAAAAAATGATGAAACTTTTAAACCAGTCTGTGTCTTTAAAATCTAAATTCAGTCAGTCATTTATTAATTTAATGTTTGTGCAGGATTCAGAGCTGCTGGAGCTGCGGGAGACCATCGAGTCCCTGAAGGCCAGGAATGAAGAGGCCCAGGCTGTCATACATGGAGCTTTAAACACCCCAGATAACATGAAAGGTTTGGAGATTTACCAGCTGATGCTGTTTCTTCCGCCTCTCTGCACATCTGCCAGTGTTTTGATGTTGACTATTCTTGTTTTCCAGACCTGCGAATTCGACGTCAGAACTCATGTGAGAGCATCTCGAGTCTTAACAGCCTGACAAGTATGTCGAGCATTGGCAGCTTGAAGGACCAAGATGCCAAGAAGAAGAAGAAAAAGAGCTGGGTAAGGATGAATGCACTCTGCTTGTGATGCAGTGTTTTACTCTCACAGCCTGGTGTGTGTCTGTGTTCAGTCTGTTCTCCTTCATGATAATGACAAAGCAGCATGGAAAATAAAGTATGACCAGTCTTTTCCTCCTCTGTGTTGTGTTATTTTGCTGTTTTAGGTCTTTGAGGTGAGTGCTGTCATTGTGTCCCTATAAAGCCTCAATAAGTTTCTGTTATAAAGCATGATGGGCAATCTAAAACTTCAACATAATATTCAAGTACCCTCCATCTCTGCTGATTCACTGCCTAGGCTACTGATTGGCTGCCTGTTCTGTCATTATTCAGATTGAATGTATGGCTGTAATTCAGTTAAGAGTGGCAATCAGTAGACACGATCTTCCACTAAAGGTGGTTTTTCGGTTTTCAGTTATTTTTTCTCTCATTTACACCATTTATTTATTGTGTATTATATCCTTCAGTTGAAAATATGTGCAGGCAGTATCTGGACCAACATCCAGCTTGACCACTTAACCCTTACTCACCCAGGTTCTAATGACTGTATATAAAGATGGACAACACATCTCCTCCCACTGTATAGAAATGAGGCCAAAATATCCCAGATACGGCCACTGCCATCTTGTGCTGGTGACGTCATTTGGAGCCATATTCTCGGCCATTGGAGCCACAGAATTGATCGACCCAAAACATGACGATATACTCCTGTTTTATAGCATCAGCGTGATAAGGACACCTAAAACAGGATTTATGACCTATACTGCAGCCAGCCATCCGGGGGCCAATTGTGATGTTTTGGCTTCACTATTGGGGAACCGTCATGTCGTCCATCTTTATATACAGTCATTGCTGGGTACTAAATCTGCAAAAACATATACTGACAGTAGCTGTGGCCTGTTTTCAGATAATGACTGAAAGGAATAGTTTGTCATTTTGGAAATTAATTTTCTTGTTTAAAGTTGATATCACTCAGATATTGGTCCATTAGATATTAAGGTACCATCAGCAGATGGTTAGCTTAGCTTAGCATAGCCACTGGAAACGTGGGATAAAGGTATCCTGGCTCTCTCCAAAGGTAACAAAATCTGCACCAATGAAGCTCATTACATTTTTGTTTGTTTAATCCACACAAAAATCAGGTTGCGGTTTGCGGGGAGTTACATGCTGTTAAAAAAAAAAAAAAAAAAAAAGACAAACTATTCCTGTATGTTTAGCATGTGTCAAATTAACAATCCTAACACATCCTCTTTGAAATAAATCACACATCACAATCAACCACTGAATATAAACTCAAAAGTCTGTCTGTCTGTCTCTCCCTCCTTCACCCTGGCCCCTCTCTCTATGTAGCTGCGGAGCTCCTTCAACAAGGCATTTAGCATTAAGAAAGGTTCCAAAACCTACTCGGACATCGAGGAAATCGCCACGCCGGATTCCTCAGCTCCCAATTCCCCAAAGATGCCTCATGAGGGGGGAGAAGGAGGGGAGAACGAGCTCTCATCCCTCAAAACCTCAGCTTCTGCCACCTCCTCTGTGTAAGTATCTAAACACTTTACTCGAGCTCTCAGCTCAGCAGTAAAAGAGCAAGTTTAGTCTTCACGGGTGTCTGGTCCTGATGTGCGCATCCTGTCTCCTCCAGCATCATGGAGACTACAGAAGAGGGGGACAATGAGGAAACGGCGGTATCAGATCTACGCTCAGAACTCTGGGTGAAAGAGAGGGAACTGACAGACATCCGACTGGAGGCCTTAAACTCCGCTCACCAGCTGGAGCAGCTCAGAGAAGCCATGAACAACATGCAGGTTTGTTTTGCCTTTATGTGCATGTTCAGTATTAGTATATATCCGAAATATATGTAGGAACGATATTGTATTTGAGTGGAAATATAACTAAAGTTTACTGGCCCATGTTTTTAGTCAACGGTGGAGAATTTGAAGGCAGAGAATGACCATCTGAAAACAGGAAGTCAGCTCAATCTCCCAGGTTCTGGTCCCACCTCCTCCACCTCCCAGCCTTCAGGCCTGGCCTCTCTCTTGGGGCCCTCGCTGAGGCAGCCGATGAGCATGTCCCTCACCAAGTCCTTCAGCCTCAGTCTGAATGACTGTAAAGATCCAGGTAAGAGACAAACAGAACCTTCTCCGATATGTGATATGTATGAAGAAGTTATATGTCATTCATCCCCTGTTTCCTCCTCTCTTGCAGACGTGTCTCCAGTTGAAATGCTAAGTGTATCCTCCCAGCGGGATGAGGTGTCTGCACGAGTACTGGTCCGGATTGGAGATCAACCAGAGGTAAACACTGAACACCATCAGCTACAATAACTAATAACTAACTAAAGTCATTGGCTTTAAATTGAACCGTTTGGAAACTGTGAACTCTTTCTTTCCCCCCTCTGTGTCTGTAGGACAGTAAACAGCAGCAGGAGTATTACTTGGGCTCAGTGCCCGTCAATGCAAGGACTGACTGGGCCTGTCTCGACTCTCTCATAGCTAAGATCTTCAAAGTAAGTCTGTAATCATCCTCTTTCACTGTGAAGACATTTGTAACAAATAGTTTAGCTGTGATTTGATAGATCAAAAATCACATTTTACCTTTGGTAATTTGATTTCTTTTTCTCTTTTGTTCAGGACTATCTAACTCAAGTGGACCCGACAGCCAGCCTGGGTCTGTCCTGTGATTCGCTGCATACGTACCAGCTGACCCAAGGAGGGCAGAGGGTGATAGGAGGGGACAAACCTCAAGCCTCACCGTATCGTTGTCTCAGCAGTGGTTCAGCTCGAATATTTGTCACCTTGAAAGGTTAGTGAGTGTCCATATTGTCTAATTGGCAAATATTGTCAAACATTTTGATTTGGTTTATTTAAAAGCTTCTAAGCAGCCACTTGTTTCAATCACTTTGCTATTACAAATCAACAATCATCATGTTTTTGTGAACATTTGGTGAACTTCTCCTGGTAATGCAGGGGCATGCAGGTGTGATTTAAGATCATCTGACATCCTGAAGAGTCAGCTGTTGAAATAAGTGAAAAGAAAATGGAACACAGAAGACATTGTGAAAATGATTCCCAGGATTTGTTCATGTCTTGCATTAAAAAAGTTTCCTGTTTGGGAACCTCTTTTTCAAAACGGTCCCTGCTCATCACTGGATTTTCTTGTGGTGGAAACTCGACTTTGACTTTTTGATGTTAATTTTGATGTATTATGTACCTCAAGCACATTTCAAGTTGGGTATAAGCTGGGCTATTGGCCCAGATGGTAGGAAATCAAATTTAAAAACATAAAGGATCCTTTGGACAAGGTGATTGTAAAATATATACAGAATCTGCATAAAACCATCTACATGATGTTTCATCTATACATTGTGTCCTGCTTTACACATTTTAAAGCATTCAAAAAAAAAACCTTGCTCCCCCCCGCTCCCTCTCCTGTGTCTTTCTGCCTCTCTCTAGGTCTTAGAGAAAAATGTGTTGACTCACTGGTGTTTGAGACTCTGATTCCTAAGCCCATGATGCTGCACTACATCAGCCTGCTGCTGAAGCACAGGCGTCTGGTTCTGTCTGGGCCCAGTGGGACAGGAAAGACTTACCTAGCTCAGCGTCTGGCCCACTACCTCCTGCAGCGCAGCCGCACCGACTCTTCCGAGGCCGACCACGAGACCTGTCTCCTGGGTCGCAGCGCCGCTGTCACCTTCAACATGCACCGTCAGTCGCAGAAGGTAGCACATGGCGATTATTTTGAAGTCCTTTTTTATCATAAACAGTTCTTAATACTGATTGATACACACTGTAAATGATACATTCACCTTTCTTTGTTGTCACAGGATTTGCAGTTGTATCTGTCCAACCTGGCGAATCAGATTGACAGAGAGAGTGGAGGAGAGATGCCACTGGTCGTTATCATAGATGACATCAGTGATTCTGCAGCCATCACAGAGCTTGTTAACGGAGCGCTCACCTGCAAGTATCACAAATGGTGAGTCAATTCAAACAATTACAGTATTTCACATAAGAGTTCAAATAAGATTTGGCTCATGAAAGTACATCATTTCCTCTGTTGATGTTTCAGTCCATACATCATTGGCACGACTAATCAGCCAGTGAAGATGTCATCCAACCACGGACTGCACCTCAGCTTCAGGTGGGCACCAAGCCAGAAAGTGTTTACAATGCCTCCTCTGACTTTGAAACATTATTTAATACAAAAATGAAGCTAACAAAAAGTGACATTTCTTGCATATGTTCACAGGATGGTGATGTTCTCCAACAACGTGGAACCAGCAAATGGGTTCCTGCTGAGGTACCTGCACCGTAAAGCTGTGGAGGCCTACCAGGAGGAGGAGAAGGACTCCACATGCCACCAAGCTCTCCTCCGCGTACTCGACTGGGTCCCTCAACTCTGGTACCACCTCCACGCGTTTCTGGAGAAACACAGCACTTCAGACTTCCTTATAGGTGAGATACAGAGGACGCAGGGTCAGTAAAGGTAGACAACAGGGAACAGGAGGGATAGCTGGATCTGTAACAGTGAGAAATAACTCAGGAAAGCAGTTAAAAGGAATTTCTTCCTCCCCCAGGTCCCTGCTTCTTCCTGTCCTGCCCAGTATCAGTGGCAGAGTTCAGGCAGTGGTTTATTGACCTGTGGAACCACTCCATCATACCGTACCTCCAAGAGGGAGCCAAAGACGGCATCAAGGTGAGCACAGACACAGACATCCTGCAGAGTGCAACATTAATGGTGACAACAAGAAGTCACCTCCTTCACTCTTGACATGTTGTTTCACATATGTTTCAATCTGTTCCCTCAGGTCCACGGGCAGAAGGCAGTATGGGAGGATCCAGTGGAGTGGGTGAGAGGCACCCTCCCTTGGCCCAATGCACAGCAAGACCAGTCCAGACTCTTTCACCTACCTCCCCCCAGCATAGGTGCAGCCAGTGAGGAGAAGAAGCCCCCCAAAGATACACCTCCACCCAGCACACTGGAGTCAGACCCGCTGGTGAGTTTCTCTTGAGATGGGTGACAAGTTAAGGGCCGAGAAAATTCACTGAGAAATAATTCTGATAATAGACTAAGAGGATTATAGGCACTGAGCAGTCAAACTGTGTTATTATTTACTAAAAGACTGCACCACAGGTTAAATGAAAGAAGAACAGAACCACACAAACAGTGTGTATTTTAAAGTGTTCCTGTTCAGTGGGAAAAAAAAAAAACAGCAAGAGGGAACTGAAACTGACAGACATAACAGCTGTTAACTGTAGACTGACCACTGCAGCTGAGGAAATTATGTCTGACCTTTTATTAAAAGGCTGGTGTAAAATGTGCAGCACTGTTTTTTATCAGATACACACACACACAGGATGAGAGACTATAGCCTAAAAACAGTGAGCGAAAGAAAAACACTTTCCCACAGTGACCGATATATATATATGTTCCTCTTGAGCTTTAATGGTTCACATCAGCTCCAGATCAGGGTGAAATAAAAGAAGCAGCCAGTAATGTTTTACCAGAAAATGTCCCACATTGATTTGTCAATTTGACAATCTGGTATTTTCTCACATACAGCCTTTTCTTGTGAGACGAATACACGCTTGCAGTTCCAAAAGTGTCTTCTCTTAAACCAGTATTTAAAGTTCCCTTTGGACTCTGGAAAATAATAATTGGCAGTTGTCGCTATTTTCTGACATTTCATAAGCCAAAAGATTATCTCAATTATCATAGAAACATTTGGCATGTTAATGGATAACAGAATGAATCATTAGTTGTCATAACACTTAAGTTTACTCTAGTGAAATGCATTTCAAGAAATATGTCATCCATGCCAAGCCAAATCTAACCCTGGAAGACAAAACATGTCTGTTAATCCGCAGTTTGACTCACTCTGCCTCTCTGTCTCCACCAGATGGCCATGCTGCTGAAGCTGCAGGAGTCGGCCAACTACATCGAGTCTCCAGAGCGGGACGGCAGTCTGGATCCCAGTCTGCAGGCTACACTCTGAGGATAACATCTGACTGTCAGTCGAGCTATGGAACTATGGACTCTTTATTACGGCTGACACAGCGAATGCAGTCCCAATGAGACTTTAAAGACTCGATAATGAACTTAACTGTGTGCTCAGTGAGCAGTTACAAAGCTAAATGTAAAGGATCTAGAGAGAGAGAGAGTGAATATGGACGAAGGGTTTGCTCTGCCCTGGTATTACGACATTGGAAAGACAATTCAACTGCTTTCATAGGAAGCTGTGATGATCATGTCAGGGAAAGATATTGATTTGTCTCTTCTCTGCCCCCAGTTTGTCCCAGATAGGTTATTGTTGAATCTGCAAGTGCATGGTAACCGGAATAGTATGATGCAAAATATTACCTATAATCCTACTGATCAAGACCCATTTGTTCCCTTTTCTTTTGTTTGTGTTTGACTACCACAACTTTCACTACAACTATTGGTGCTTACTGGTTTTTCTTAGAAGGCACGTGCTTCATTTCCGAATGAAATTCACCTCAGAAGTAAAAGAGTCTGATTTCCCCAAAAGTCAGAGCATCACTCAACAACAGCCAAAAAAATGCACTTTATTTTCTACACGTGGTAATTGGATTTAAGGCGGCTGTGTCAGTGACTGTGCATCAAATGGGGGGGTCGGACTATCGGTTTGGCCAAATCATTAGCAGTTCATTAAAAATTCCTCTAGATGGCAGCATCCAGTAACTCCTGCCTCAGTGCCCTCCTGGTGTGCTTTTTGTCTTATCAAAGGTGCTCGGTAAAATATAACACACACTCAGTAACACAACAACAAAAATTGCCTTGAATGTTTTTTTTCTTTTCTTTTCGGTGCAGCCGTTGAGTCATTCGTGGAGCAAGTGTCACACCTGTGAAGGTGTAGGAGTAACATGCATGGGTGAATGATGAATTGAAAAATGAATCAGTTTCAGGGTCAGTCTGTGCAGTAAAATGTCATCGTCAGTTGACTCAGTAGCCAGTGGTTTACTCCAGTAAATACACTGATCCTAACCACAGACATTGACCCCAGACTCAACATAGTGTATTGTAAACACACAAGAGAAAACTCAAAAACTGCTTGTTTATCTAGTCTGCCAAAACGGCCTACCATTTCTGGCTATGCTTGCTTCTATCCTGTATTTAGATATCAGTTTTAAAACACAAACTTCTCTTGTGATTGCTGAAGATACAGCTTTGAAAATCTTGATTTTGTAGGTTTTTATACTGAGTCATCTTCACTGAGCATCTGCATACAATTATCACCTAGTATATATATATATGCATCCAACATGCCGTTATCAGCAAGAGCAGACAGCGTAAATGAGTACTTCCATCGTCACTGTTTCATTTCTCATTCATAATCTTACTGGAGGAAGAGGGTGAACATGAGTGAAAAAATCTGCCATCGAGCGATAAGAAAATGTACAAAAACCATTTCCTTCCTCATTGCATTTGCTCTCTGTATCTTTTCACGAGAGTTTTGAATAGTATGAATTGGTTGAATCTCAATTTAAAGTGGCTTCCTCTCATTGCTTTCCTTCATTCTTTTGCACATAATATATGATAGAAAGTATTAGATTACAACGAGTATTTATTGCTCACATCCTGACTGTTCATATGAAGGAAATCAGCAAAAAAAAAAAAAAAAAAAAAAGGTGTGTTAAAGGAGGAAGCTGTAGGTAGTAGAGATACACTTAAACCTCTTAGCTCTGTGCCCCTTGACCCTGAAGTACCTCAGACTGCCATATTCTGTCCAGATGTTCCTCTACTTTTCAAGCAGCCGAGTGCTGGTGGAAAGTAGAGACATGATGCCTAAGTCTTATCTGTGCCTGAAACACAATTTGGCCTAAAGCTGCTTTCGAGCTGCTTTAATCTACCACACGGAGGCCTCGATTCACTTCCTCTCACCTACTCTGATGTCACTTAAATGTCGTCACCTTGATGCCCCCGCATTTGGGTGGAGAGTGGGTTATTGATTTGGGCCTATTGCTGGTAGTTAAGGTAACGTGTGTGTCAGTTAACTCTGCAGTAGATGAGAATGTGTATCATGAGTGTGTGTGATTTGACACCATCTACATAAACTTCAAGTGTGAAAGACTGGACATCTTTGAGACAGTTGCCTGCGAGTGGGAAGCAGCATAAGAACAGATATTAGCCTGGAGATGTAATGTCGATGCATGTATCCCTTGTGTGCTCCCAAAGTTTTGCTTCATTGGACCTACCACACTTAAACCTTATCACGGGAGGGATTTTTAATAACTGGATATCTTCCTTTTTTGCATTGTTTTTAAGGGCAGACATTTGTTGTTTTGTTTTTTTTCTTATGCAAATATTTGTAAAGGTTTCTTTCTCTTTTGTACATGACATCACTATTGTAAACACTGTAAATAGTCAGTGCATCTGCGACAACAATCACTAAAAAAAAAAAAGAAAAAGTAGAGGTCTAAGAGAAGGCATGGCTCCTGTATGCAGAAAACGGGCGTTCTCAGTGGTTTTATTGTCTTCCTCCAATAGGAAGGAGCACTTGGCTTAAAAGGGGACCTAATAATGGTTGTATGGCATGTCTCTATAACCACATCAAATCCCATATGTCTAACATTGAGCAATGGACACAATAAAATCATGCCATTCTTCACATCACTACCTGTCTTGGTTGTGTGCGTTCGTTATCCACCGGAGGGCGCCACTATCAATGTTCTGACCATGTATTAGACTGTGTGATGATTTTAAAAGTATAGGAATAGTATAGGAATAACATAGGATTTAGCTTTAGCTTTAGATTTATTTGTTGGTAAATGTGAAAAAAAGAAATGTTATAGAGGTAATGACAAGTCAGGATATTCCTGTCTGTGTAGGGTATGGGTCCTAATAGAGATAAGGATGTGACTGAAGTGGGGAGGGGGGCATCAAAGTAAGGGAATGGGTGGAGTTGCGCACTACCCCACCATCCCTCACCCCATATATATATATCCTAAGACCCTCCAGACTCCTTCATCCAAAGGACTAGCCGTCTGTCAGCGCGATGCCAGGCAAACCTGCGCCCATCAAGAAGTCCCCGGCCAAGAAGGCTGCCGGGAAGGCACCTGAGCCCTCCCCCGCCCCGGAGCCCTCCCCAGCTCCGGCAGAGGCTCCACCTGCGGAAACACCTGCACCTGTGGAAAGTGCTCCCGCTGATGCACCGGCCGAGGTGGCGGCTCCCCCTGCCGAGGGAGAGGCAGCCCCCGCCGCCCCAGCTGAGGACACCCCCGCTGCTGAAGGAAGCGCCCCAGGTGCTGTACCATGGAGATAAAGTCACCTTAACAATCGCGTAAATCCACCTAAATGTGAATGGAGTGGAAGCTTTATTCATCTCAAATAGATAAGTAACAAGCATGGAGCAATAAATCAGTGACTGCTGCTTCTGTAAGTGACTAGAATTTGGAAGCAGAGAAGTAACTACTCTCTGTGCAGTTTAGTAGGTACAATTAGCTGAAACTAATGCAGTCTAGTCCTGCAGTAAATCCTCTCTCAATAATGAAAGGGGGATTTACTGCAGTTTTATCAGAGAGGTTATGATATTTAGTTTTTATTGAAACTATATTAGAGAGGTGCTGAGTCAACTTCATGGTCATTTTGGAGGTTTTAGTTTGTGATGCTGTTGAACTGTATTGTGATACCGACATGCATCTGTATTATTTCATCGAAATAACAGAAACACTTCTCTGTATGATACCACACACTCTAACAGCACCACACATTACAGCCTCCACAATGACCATAAAGTTGAATCAACACCTCTCTAAAACAGTTTCAATAAAAACTGAACATTATAACCTTCATGAAGGGAGGATTTGTTGCAGGACTGTTGTATAAGACTGTATTAGTTTTAGCTAATTGTGCCTAATAAACTTTCAACTGATAGTATATGAGCGTTATCAGAGAAAAATATTTGTTACAAGTCTCCCTTTTAACATTAGCTTTCCTTCCTTTTTTCTTTATTTGCGTGTATGTGATCAGCAGTAACATTATCCTGCATTTGCAGATACAATGGCTCCTACAATTTCAAACCTTTTTTAATCTTAATTTTAACATAGCGGACCAGAGTATAAAAAATATTCAATTTTTGCAGCATGATTGTGTGCTGTGTCCGAATAGTGATGCTACAGTAATAACTTCACCTACTAATTTCTTTCCAGAAACTGATAAAGTAGGTGAGTGCAGCTGACCAACAATCTCTAACCCTTGCTCCTGTTTCTCTTCCTCCAAAATGTGGTGATATTGTCAGATGTATTTCAACCTGAGGTATAGTATAGTGAAGTGTAATAGCAGCATAGAGCTGCACCTCTGGTCCATGATACTGGTTATCAGTGGTTGTGCTGTTGGTGTTCCTGGGGAAGTGTTGCCAGATTGGACTGACAAAGAGTAGCTGAGTCAGAACCTGCAACCTGCCCAAAAGTAACTCAGTTTTTAATTTTCATTGAGGAAAGAGTTGTTTGTCAATCCAAGTCTTCTGTTTTATCAGTAGAATTAGGCAAATTTGAGACAATATTTACAGTAACGATACATTTAAATTATTAGTAATATGATAAAATAAAAGTCTCTCAAGGTCCCTGTCAATCTCAGTCATGCTACTTGGATCAGAAGGGGCTGAGCTATTGAAATATAACTTTTCATCTGTGGAAACCGCCTACATTGTACAGAAAATAGCTCAAATCATCACAACCTGCCCAAAACACTTTTTACACAGTAGCAAAATCTGGTGAAACATTTTTCTTATTCAGGATGTCTCCTTTATTAGCTGCAAATATATTTCTAACATCCAGCTGCTAGTTGTAAATCACAGTATCATTAATGCTTTGATTTATTAACCTTTAATCTTTCACAATAAATTATCCATTTTAGAAGTCCCGAGTGCTGCAGGAACAGTTCCTTGGTGGCAAAGTACATAAATGGTGGCTGTAGTAGAGCGACTGGTTTTGTTTTTGCCTGCTAACCTCGACATGTAACCCCCTAACTCCAGCTGAGACCACAGAGGGAGGAGCTGATTCGACAACTCCTGCTGAGGGTAAACACACACCACAGGCAGTCCACGCAAACAAGCTGTAATGCATGATGTGTGTTTCTGTGTGTGTGTGTGTGTGTGTTTGTTTGTGTCCCACTGTGCACTACACATGCTGTGTACGTTTCCTGCACACGGTCCGTTATGTGTATAGGTATTTCTGTCCGTGAACTTTGTCCTTTGTAAGGTTTCATCTTTGAGCTCTGTGTCTTTTTAACCAGCCAAAGAGAGGCTGGTTCTCTGTGTGGACATGTAACGTTCTTCCGCTGTGTGCAGATCTCTTACATCACATTCTAAAATGTGTTCAGGAATCCGTTTTCTGGGTCATAAATCCACCTGCTCTTGTCACTGTGAATACAGAAAGCTTTGTCCGCACCGCCCTGTCTCACTGCTTGCCTCACTGGAATATATCTTGATCAAATCAGCTTGAAACTGATTCATTTCCTGCATGAGTAATGTCATCATGTGAGCCACTAATTGTCTTCCCTAATGGCATTTTAGCTCAAGCTGCTGCTCCTGCTGCAGATGCTCCGCATAAACCACCACACGGACAACAAGATTACTGCTCAGCCATAACATGCACTGCAAACACTGCCGACTTTATTTGAAATATCATCAATAAAGTTCCACGCACCATGCCTCTGCCCAGCTGTGAGGATGACTGGATTCTTAACAAACTTTCAACCTCCTGGTATCTTTCCACAGTGATTGGCATGCCGTAGCACTTCCGTGTTTGATTATTATTTTGAAAAGGTTACAGCTTGAAGTCTCACTATGGAAAAGATGCTCTGGGAATTTATCAGGTCCTAGTTGCTGGCATTTGTTTCTAAAATAACTTTAACCTCCTGCTTGTTTAATGCTAGCTGCTCCAGCAGAAGCTGTCGTAGTTGAGGAGCCACCCAAGGCCCCCACGCCCCCACCTCCCGCAGGTAACGCCAACATTTAAGCTTTGCTGTTAGCTCGGTTCTGCTTTGAACACCCAGTCAAGGTCAATGTGAAATGTTACGACAGGGACAAATAGAAAAATCTGTTCCAAAATGAGATGACCGCCATCTGAAGCAAATGAAAACTAATGAGAGTTTGTAAAGAATATCATGTACCTAAACACCCTGGTTGACAGAATGATACCAGTTTTACACACATATTGAATGATAACAGGTTAGGGCAGCTAACGACTATTTTTCATTATTGGTTCATCTGCTGATTATTCTCGCAGTTAATAGTTTTGTCAATAGAATGTCAGAAAATAGTGGAAAAATACCCAATATGATTTCCACAGCCCAAGCTTATGCTTCAAATGTCTTGTTTCATCTGACCAACAGCCCAAACCCCAAAGATATTCAGTTCACGATCATGTTTGACAAAAGAAAAGCATCAAATTTTCACTTTTGAGAAGCTTGGAGCAGCAAATATTTGACACATCCTGCTTTAAAATCGACTAAAATCCATATAGTTTTAAAAGGTTAACCCTTTTGGTTATTTGTTTCACTTGGTTTTCAAGCAAAAATGCCAAAAGATTCTTTTGTTCCAGCTTCTCATGCTAGGAGATATGCTGCTTTTATTTCCCTTATGTGACAATTACCTGAACAATATTGGGCGTTGGACTTTTGATGGGACAAAACAAATGTTACCCTGGTCGTTGGGAAATTGTGATGAATATTTAATTGTTTTAAAAATGATTTATCAATTAATCGACAATAATCGTTGCAGCCCTGCAGGTAACCATGATGTAGAATAGAAAGTATCAGGGTAATTATTCCATTTTGTGTTTTCAGTGTCATTTCAGCTCATCTTTCTCTTGTCCACCTCAACCATTATTCAGTCTGCTGTGTTTGAACCCCCTCCAGTCCCCACCAGTGCTCCTCTGGACGTATCCGTGGATGATGTGAACGACTGCAGCCTCACCATTAAGTGGAAGACACCGGAGACCATCGGCGACTCCGGCCTCGACGGATACACCATCGAGTACTGCAAGGATGGAAGTAAGTCTGTGTATGTGTGTGTACAGTATGTATGTGAGGCTGCGAGGCCTGCACCTGTCTCCTGAGTGTCAGAGGGCAGATAGACTCATAGCCGGGTCCAGGCCGTATACGGCAGGCAGCATTTCACCGGCTGTCACTGTATCTCCTGACACCACTTTTAGAAGCACTCGTTTGCTCAGATGACAGCATGCCTTCTGAGATTTCATCATGTTGGCCGAAGGGTACTTCTTATGGACAGGTTGTTTGTAAACTTGTGTCGACAGGTGATAAACCACTTAACACACCCCATTAAGGGATGTTTTACACTTTGATAAATGAAAAAACTTGAAAAAAAATCTAAAATCCCGACATGTATGCTTACCTTTATGCACAACCAAAGTGAAAACTGTAGTGAAAGCTACATACTAACACCAACCATGGGTTTCTCTGCAGCAACAGACTGGGTTGTTGGTAACGTGGAGTTGACCCCAGCAAACCGCTACAGCATCAAGAATCTGACAGCAGGTGACCTGCTGCATGTTCGCGTGGTGGCTGTAAACCCTGGTGGCCGCAGTGAACCTGGTACTCTCGCTGAGCCTGTGCCGATCCGCGAGATTGGTGGTGAGTGGTCAGCCAGTGTCATTTCTCAAACTGTGCAACACACCAGTATCTGCTTAAAAGGGAATTCAACTGCAACAAAATGCAGATAAGAGTTGAAAGCTGATGCTTTCTGAGATGCAAATATTTGAGTTTGTGTAAACCTTTGCAACTATACACTAGGATGTTATCATTATTATTATTATTATTTAAAGAAACAACCAAAGGAGTAACAGCTATGTCTTAAGTGGTAGAATGGGAATATCTATCTTCTATCTGTGGAGCAGTACTTTAGTGTGACTGTGTCCATAAGTGTGCAAAACGTCAGAAAATCGTGTCAGATTTCTCGACAATCTCTCTACAGATTTGCCTTCAATTGATAGTTGTGGTTTTCCCCAGGGTAAGGAAGACAACTTGTAAGATTGTATGTCTCCAACCTCTTTATCAGGAGCTCTCTGATCGTTGTAACTTATGACCTATCCTTAAAATACTCATGTTGCAACCAGGGAGGCAGAGGTGGTGTTACCCGCCGGGGCCTCAGATGGACTGCACAGATGCATGCACATAAATCTCAGAGGTGCTGACACGTGCTTTCATCAGCTGTAAATCATGCTTTCAGTTGTGTGTACACACATCTTCAGCAGTTACTCCAGCTTTGGCATCAATAAAGAAGGTCATGTACACAAATTTTCGACTTGCTTTTTAAATTAATAGCCACAGTCTGTGGACTTTTATCTCTTGTTTTCTAGAAGAGAAAGCAAGAATAATGAATCATAATAAAGTGTATTCATTTAGCGCTTATCAAAATCAACAATTACAACGGACTTTATAAAAAACAACAACAAAAAAAAAAAAACAGAAAACAATGTAAAAGAAAGAATCAAGTAAACATGCAAGCACTTTGACCAAATATCAGGAACAAAATGAGGGAAAAAGGACTAATAAAATACTAATCTGCATCTATTTATATTTATACACTAATATACATATAAATATAGAGAAGAGGCTGTTGCTATCTTTGTTTTGGCACTGTAGGTTTGACAGAAGCATGAACCATCAAATGTATTTTGTATGCAACTTGAACATTACTGATAGTTGAAATGTTTAACTGCAGAACTGATTGCACTTAAAAAAGGACAGTAATTAACTGATGCAACCTATTTTAAGACGGACACATCCATAAAAACATGAGCAGAGAAAAATACTGGATCCAGGCCAAGTTAAACACTCAGCAAACACACAGTTACTCGAATGTATCCATTATATAACATGTTCTTGGCATCTGCGTTTTCATGTCAGTTAAATCTTCTGATAGCTAGTGGCATTTCCACCAGCCTCAGCTGTACTGTGTTTAGTGCTAATTAGCAACTGTTAGCGTGCTGAAGTAAGATGGTTAACATGGTAAACATTATATCTGCTAAACATCAGCATATTAGCACTATCATTGTGAGTGTTCGGACGTTAGCATTTAGCTCAAAGCACAGCTGTGTCTAAGTACAGCCTCACAGAGCCGCTAGCATGACTGAGTCTCTGTCTTGTTAACGCTTCAGTCTCAAATATTTTTGGCATAACCACTGCATTTGTGTACAGATACCAAAATGATATGTTTTATAATACCCTATAAAACCTAAAAAAAGAAACCCTTTTAGAAAAGAAGACCTCTTCTTCTCAAGTTAGGTGTTGTCCAAACACAAGCAGCTGTACAAGATGGGCAAAAATTTGAATTTAAGCCAGGAAATATCTTAAACAATAACAGTGAACAACAACAACAAATCTGACCAGGCATTTAATGTCAGCTTTCAGTTCCAGTAAGCACAGTAATAGCCAGCCCTACTCCAAAATGAATGCATTTTTTCCCATGAGGCTGATGCCTTGTTTTTAGAAACTGTCAGAATTGGACACTTTGCTCATTTTGACACTTTGCTTAATGTAAACTAATGTATTCCCTAATTTAGCTGTCACTTCTTTTCCTGTTAAATTGGTTTGCGCTTTACTACTGTCTGTAGAAAAAGCTAAAAATGCCCCCGAAATACACTCACAGCCTCACTGTCAGCCCCCTCTTTGTTTGTTGAAACCAAGCTTGGTTTTTGTGACTGCAGTTGTGAATTTCCACCAGCGCTTACACTGAGTCACATTGACGTGGTGTAGACCTGAGCTGACATACCCCAGTTATCGACTTTCAGAAGTGCAGCTTGCTGTCTCTGAGCATATTTCCTGGTGTGGGTTCAAACCGCTGCGAACAAACAGGAAACTTAAGTGGAGAAATGTGGTCATGCAACCAGAACTGCTGGTCAACTGGGGTGAATGAAACATGAGCCTAATTGATGGATTCTGGGCGGCTTGTTGGGGGGTAAATTCAGCTGTGTGTCAGTCACACGCTGTCCGGACCAGACATCCATCTGCATGTACGAGCTTCTGATAAAGACACGCTGTCCTACATATGCTGAAAGCCCCCAACAAAGACACTTTATCCAGAGACAAAGACAGATTACAGATTGTTTGCAGGACGGCTTGCTGGCTGCTGGATGCTGTAATGCCTGCAGAACTTCTGGGCATTGCTGGGAAGTGTGCTCATTAGTGGGGATTAGTGTTTGAGCCAAATCTGGAGGCAGACCTGATCTTCATGTGGAATGATAGTTCCAGGAGCCGGATCCCAGCCTGTGCAGCAGTGTTAAGGTGACAAATGTTAAGACAGGGTGGACGAGATATTTCTGGGCGAGAAACCAAGTGAGATGGAGAGCAACAGAGGGAAGAAAGTGTGACAGTGTGATAGGTACAGTTGATGGGCAGTGAGATAAGAGGACATTTGGAGTGGATGAGGAGAAATAGAGGCTGCAGCGGGGTTAGAGAGGTGATGGAGGGCAGCAGCCTGGCAGTTTTATGTATCCTGTAATACCAGAGAGCTTTTCAGACATTTGCTGCTTATGCAGAAACATGCGAGGGATGCTGTTGCTGATACTTAGCACCCGGCCTGAACGAAACCATCCAGCATAGCGACCGGTCTCACGAAGTCCCATCCACGATAAAGTTTCATCCATATGATTTTAGTTATTTCACCTAAAACACACCAGCAATCATTGTAACTGATTTAGGTGTCCGCAGTTTTTCAGACTGTAAATCACCCTCTCCGAATGTGACGTTGGGCCACTCCAGTCAGCTGAAAGTGACGACATCTTCCTGCTGCTTCTTTGTGCATGACATGAGGGAACACGTGTGGGGGGGGGATCTCGTCACCAAAGCTATTTTAGTAGCTGCTGGATGAGGAGGGGTCTTCCTCTTTTGCTTCTCTCTGCCCAGATACTGCGCTTTTCCTCACATACGCAGACACAGAAATATTCTGCCCTGCTAGATTTCCTGTGTCGTTTTTTATTTATGACTTGTCATATTCATCAATAAAAGTGGGCCGTGAATTTATTTTGGCTTTTAAGTGCGAAATATGATGTTGTTTTGTGACTGAGTTTCAGATGTTGGTTTTATCACAGAAAGGTCTAATCACATGAAGAACTTTTTTTTTTTTTTGCACCTGGTTTCTTTGATTCTGTTCTTTATGTGTATGTCTTTGTGTAGGTATAATGAAGTATCAATACTAATAATATTTAATTATTAGGGCTGCAACTAATAATTATTTTTCATTATTTATAAATTATTCTATAAAATTTACAACAAATATCCAAAACTCAAGATTTTCAATCCGTTATTTAAAAAAAAAGTAGCAAATCTTTACATTTTCAAAGCTGAAACCAGAAAATATTTGGAATTCTTGCTTTAAAATGAATAACAATGCCAATTAATTTTCTGTTGCAGCTATAAACCAAATGTTATTATTCTTTTAAAAGACTGAGCAATCTCATACCATCAACTTTACTGGAAAAACTACTAAAAATTGATTTTATTTTTGTGATAACTTGTGTGGATTAATTATAGCTCCTTCAGCCATGAAGCTTTGCCTCGCTGTGACTGGCCTATTTAAGTCTTGTTGACCTGACCTGTCCTTTTGAACCAACATGACCCCACTGGGAAGTGTACTTGACATAATTTCTTCTCTGTACACTGACAGCTGGTAATGTAAGCTAACGCTGTCAATTAGGTGATTGGTTCAGTAGTCCAGGGTATGTCGTTTGTTCAAAATTTTACCAGCAACTGGCCACAGATCAGTTAATCAGAGTAGAGAACATGTGGTGGATGAGGCAGAAGATGAACATGCTTGACTTGAGTTTTTATTTCTCAGCGCGTCCCAAGATCCGCATGCCCCGAGCTCTCAGATCCCGTTACGTCAGGCAGGTCGGAGAGCAGATCAACCTGGTCATCCCCTTCCTTGTAAGCCAGCACAAACACACATTTCATCCTAAATATTCCATAAGTAACTTGTGGCACTGAACACTTGTTGTGTCTCGACCTTTCACCTCAGGGGAAGCCCAAACCTGTGGTTTCCTGGCTGAAGGACGGTCAGCCTACGGATGCAAAGAGGGTCAACATCAGGAACAGTGACAAGGACAGCATCCTGTTTATCCGCACATCTCAGAGGGAGGACTCTGGTGTTTACGAGATAACTGTTAAAGTGGACAGCTTTGAAGACAAAGCCACCATCACCCTTCAGATTGTGGGTGAGTTGCACATGGCGTGTGTTGTTTGCACACAACATAAACAAGCTTACGCACATGCACTCATGGAAACAGGTGTGCGTGCAACAGTGTGTCAATGTCTGGCTTATTTCAAAACCTCCCTAATGAATCTGCTCAGCTCACGGTGCAGCTGACCTGTTAGTTTTGAGACTTGTGACTTCCTCCAACAGAAATTTCAAAGCACCAGTCAACATACATCACACCTTTAACAACGATGCTCTTTGACCCTGTGTGTGAGTCTGCTGTCAGCTGCTGCTGTTAAATGTGTAGCCGCACATTAGAGGCATTGTCAAACAGATACATAAATCACTTTTGATCTAACGTGGTTGGGAGCAGACACACTCTGAGGAACTCACTGGTTATAATTTGAATCTTTTATGTTGTAGTTGACAGTAATGTTGTCTCCTCAGAGCTGCCCGGTCCTCCTACCACCGTGAAGCTGGTGGACAGTTGGGGCTTCAACGCTGCTCTTGAATGGACTGCTCCCAAGGATAGTGGCAACACAGATATCACTGGATACACCGTTCAGAAGGCCGACAGAAAGACTGGGGTATGGCAGATGTTCAAATGCACATTCTTGCACCAGACCCACAATGTTGTCAGACTGTGTGAGTTTGCAGATATAAGCTGGATTTATACTTGATGTAAGATGTCAATGGGAGTCCTGAGTAGATTTTCATTTATAGTTTAGATTCTGATTACCACAACACTAGATGAATGTTATTTACTGTCTTAAAGTGTTAAATGTAAAGCTTCTACTCCTGGGTTAGACTATATCTCCTCAAAAAATGTAACTACACACTTGGGCTAAAGAGATACTATGTAGACGCTGCAAGACCTGTGACTATCCAGCTGCTGCTTGTGTTTTCACCTACATGTTTGTGATGCCAGCATGGAAGATGTTTTCTGAATTTGCAGTGTGTTTGTGTATTTGCATGCGTTTTCTAAAGTTGCAGTGCTTTGAGCTCTCAGGGCCACGATAATTTACATATTACATAGCCTTTTTAGGTATACATAGTATTTAAACAAAATCAAATAAAATGATCAAAGGGTTTGGAGTAGATTGCAATGTCTCATTTATTTGTGGTTTTTACTTGGCAGTCTATAAAAATGATAATACATTTTTAAAGTTGTCTTACTGCTCCCAGGTGGCATTGAAAATATTCAACAAAACAACCACAAGAGCCTTTAGTTCAGCAAAGGACGTGTCGTTATGTATGGTGTTGTAGGGAAAATTAACCAAAACAGGCATCCTAATCATTACAAGCTCATATGGATGTAGGGACTCCTCAGCAGATGCCTGAAATGGATGGACAGAAAGAGAGAGAAGAAAAAGTGGGAGTGATGGTTTAAAGAAAAGAGAAGGAGCCAGGGTGCAAGGTGCAAAGAGAAAGTGGAAACTGTTGGAGACAGTGAAAAGAAAAACAAGAGAGAGGGTCAAGAGAATGGACTGGGTAAAAGTAGATCACAGTTGCTGTAAAAATGAAAGCGTAACTGAAGATATCAGGTTAATGATCGGTTGATTGATAGCTCACTGGTAATGAAATTAATATATCAATAATATTCCTGTGTCTGCTGCGTCTCCACCTGCAGGAATGGTTCACGGTGCTGGAGCACTACCACAGGTTATCCGCCACCGTGTCAGACCTCATCATGGGCAACTCGTACGCCTTCAGGGTGTTCTCTGTGAACCAAGTGGGCATGAGTGAGAAGAGTGCTGTCACCAAGGAGGTGGCTACCATCCAGAAGACAGGTGACCTTCTTGATACGTACTGGACTTTAATTCTTCTGGGGTCAGTTTGTTTACATGAGCAAGAGTTTTAGTGGCAGGGCTGCAGTACAAGTGGGTACTTTACACTTTAATGAGCCGCAGTAAGTCTGTGAGAGTCGTGTGTGAGTGTGTGTGTGTTTAAAGAGAAGACCTGAGGAGTGGAAATGGTTTTGGCACTGCTTTAATTATAAGTGTGTAGCTCTCTTGGCCAGTGCTCAGCTGCTACCGAAATAGACTTAAAGAGGCTCCGACAACATTAAGACAGCTGTGAGAGCAAATGTTGCTCTTGTGTGTGCGTCTGTGTGCGTGTGTGTGTGTGTGTTCTTGGATGTGTTTATATTCACCTGTGCCTGCCACCCTGCAAGAAATGTAATTTGGTGACGTAGGTCAGTACGCTAAATCTCTGTGGTTTGTGTTTGAATTAGGGAATGCCTGTGCATACATGTGTGTTTTCCATCTTATCATTTGATGTTTTTCTTTTCTCTCTTTAAAGATCTGAAAAGTGGTGAAAATCTTTTTCCTGTCAGTAGCACTTGGTCTTTCTATTGGGGTATTGATCATATGAAAACGATACCAAGTAGCAACAAGACACAACACTGAATTGATTACATTACATTACATTACTATTTTCCTTCAAATGAAAACAAAGGTCTAATGTAGGATGTCCTGCATATTACTTCTGCAAATTCATTGCATGCCAAGCTGTCTATGGGTCATCAGCCCCCTGGAAATATGAACTGTAAGCATTTAGTTTCACCAGTGCTTAATCCTCCTGCTCTTTGTTAAGCAATCCTACACAAGTGTGAGGTTGAAATGTTGAACTCTGCAGAGATAGGAGGCCAAGTATTTTTGGCCAGTGTCATTTTTACACAAATATTAATGTATTTTAAGGGAAAGTAAAAGCAGTGACATGATGAATGAATTACCATCTTGTTATGATAAGAAATAATCCAATAGTGCACAGAAGAGATAGACACAGATAAAACACACTAACAAAAATACAAGAATTATACAAATATAGATTTTTAAAAACTTAAAAGAAGAAATAACATATCCTTCCTCTTACAAAAGTTGAATTCATAAGCAGTGAAACACACAGTTTTTCAGTTCAGTACACTAAGGAGTTTTGCTGCTTCTGTCTTTGTCTCATACGACCAGTAGCTTATAGCTTTACTGCAGTATTGTTGCATTTGTTAAGCGTTAGAGCTAAAAGCAAAACAGTATTGTTGCATTTAGCAGTACTGTCACTTGTAGCTGCTCCTCAGCAAAAGTTACATAATCATTAGCCTTCACAAGTTAGCCTCTAGTGGCCACCCAGTACTCCTATATGTCACATTACTGCAGCTGCTTCACTCTAAAAGCTCTCCAGTGCTGTCAATAATTATTGTCTCGTAAATACGAACCAAAGGATCATTTCGATTGTTTTCGAATGAAGAACAATTTGTATCACTTGTATCAATTTGTATTACTTGTATCTGTTATCACTTTAAAAAAAACTGGTATTTAAACTTACAATTTTACAAGCAACCCCCAGATGTAGATCGTCAGCCAGATCTTCACCTTGCTTCATGTGTTTTCAGGTATTGTCTACAAGCCTCCAGAGTACCCGGAGCACGACTTCAGCGAGGCACCAAAGTTCACCACAGCGCTCAGCGACCGTGCTGCTACTGTGGGATACACCACCAAGCTGCTGTGTTCTGTTCGTGGATCCCCCAAGGTCAGACACACACTCATATACTGTATGTCTATGTGCCACTGCAGTTTGAGTACAGGCCCATGGATCAGTACAGCGTTTCATGCAGGGTAAAACATCTTAAAATGTATTCAATTTCTCCACCAAAGGGCTTATATTATCTAATTTAAAGACATTTTAAAGAAAATAATTTGCAGATTATACCATTATGAAAATAACAGTTAATTGAATCCCTACTCCATCGTCCATAGTACATCTTATCAGTGTATCTTGTCTAGGATCACTGTGGTGTTCCTGTTATGTGTCACTGATAGCTGATGCCAGCTGTTGAGTGGTTACTATTTTTACATCTGATTGTTGGCGCACATACTCACAGTAACGAGATCCTTGGGAAACATCTGTTGATTATATGGAGAAATGAAGGATATGTCCTGTTGAGATTTTAGGTATTTCTCATTTTATATGAAGCTTGAGTCTTGTTTTGCTGATTCCACATTTATTATTCTGGATTTAAACCATTTGTTTTCACTAGAGAGAGTGAATGATATACTGCTTCAAACGAGGTATTAATATCACTGCTATTAAGATCCACTGTATTAAATGGGGCAGGGCTTGCACCGGAATGTCTATGTGAAATTTCAGTATGTCTCTTACTGTTCTTGGCGGCCACTGCTCTGGTTAAACATATCTTTACAGTTGTCTGGATGACGCAGACGGCTTAGGTGGCCAGCCGTGATGGACATGCATTTGATTATGCGTCCTAGCTGTCCTTGGCTTGTCATCAAGTACAGCAGTGGTTGGACAGTGTGCACACTCCAGGGTAGTTGAGACAAATCAAAGAGGAACTGGTGCTGGCTCGGATTGCACTCAATTTGGGATTGATGGGTAATGGATTGGGATGGCTCATTGGTAGTTGTTTCAAAAACAGCTGAGAAGGTCCTAAAAAAAAAAGATGGCATGTTATTTTTTTTTTTTTTAATATTGTATGGTGTCTGGTGCACCTCAGTGGTTCACCTGGCAGAGTGCATACCATTAAAGTTTAGTCCTTACTACAGCCGTCCGGGTTCAGTTCCGACCCACAGCCCTTTGCTGCCCCTCTCTCTCTCCCCACTGTCTCTCTCTCTCACTGCTACTATAATAAAGACATAAAAGGCCTGGAAACTTAATGCCATATATACAGTATGTATACTGTATATTTTTTATTTTCTATTTTTTTGCATGTGCCTTTATTATTGAGAGGAGAGTTGTTTACATGTGTTGGAGTGGATGCCTATGTTTGAGAATAAGGACTCAGCTGTAGATTTGTGCCCTGGTTCTGAAGTTAGGGTCTATAAACCTAGACCCACCAAGTCTTAATAAATCTCGCCGTGTTTCTCGCTGTGGACCAGCAGGCTTGGATTCTGCAATGAGAGCAACCGTAGAGTCGTAGAGGCTTTGTGAAAACATGTCCACACATTGTCTGTAGGGGACCATGGAAAAAGAGGCATTTAATACCCTGTTCATACTCTGAATGTGTACCTAACCCATGTTTCACCCCGTTCATATAAAACTGCTGTCACAGGTTAATCTAGTTAATTCAATGTCAACAATCAGAGACTCAACTGTACACAGTACATAATTACATAAAATAAACAACAAAGACTGAATCGATCTTGCCATGCGCGCTTTTACTCTCTCTGCTTGTAACTACTGTAAATGAGATAATTTCACACATATGTGGGCTGTAAGTGTGTTACAGCGTGTTTATTGAGCCACTTTCTCTGCGCTGGCTCAGACTACAGAGTCCACTGACAACTGCTGAGGAGGTCCAGCAGAGAGGCATGTAGTGTGATAAGTTGCCTCTGATAAAGAGCTGTCACATATAGAGGCAGAGAGCGTGCTGGAAAAGATAAGGGGTAAAGACAAAGAAGAGACAGTGATAAGAGGTATAGCTGACTGTCCTCTTGTGACTGAGTGAAACAGAAGGTACTATTTTTGCCACCTATCCAGGCTGCAGCTCTGTTATCAGTGTGACCGATTATCCCTGTAGCATCCACACTCATGGATGTCCAAACACAGAAACATGATGGGACTGAGGAAGATAAATAATAAGAGCAGCAGAGACAAGTGGGAGGATGTACTTTTCTTTGTTTAGCTTGTTATCTCAATGTCAATTAAACAAAACTTGCCACAGCGAGAAATGCGAGGGCCATTGCCAATAGATGATGGGTTTTAACTTTAAAATGTAATACAAGCTAAACTGAGCTGAAGTACAATTTAAAATTAAACTAGAAAACTGCCTTGTGGTCGTCACCACTCAGACTAGTTTCAGATAACATTCCTTAACATTCCCTGTTTATCCAGAATCATATAAAATATGAACCATTTGTGTGAAATTTTTGTCATAATTGCTGTCTGAAGTCTTGAGGTTATGGCTGACAAGGTCACACTGACCATGATCTTTGACCTTGGACCACCAAAATCTAATCAGTTCATCTTTCAGTCCCAGTGGACATTTGTGGCAAATGTGAATGGATTTCCTTGAAGAGTTCTAGAGATATTGCGTTCACAAGGCCAAAATCATGTTTTGAGAGGTCACCACAACCTTAACCTTTGACCACCAAAATCTAATCAGTTCGTCCTTGAGTGCAGGTGAATGCCTACCAAATGTGGAGAAGTTCTGTCAAGGCGTTACTGAGACATCGTGTCCATAAGAATGGGACAGATGTATGGACAAACCAATATGCTGTCGCCAGGACAGAGATCATCCTCTGGTCACCATGAATATCTGTACAAAATGTCCTGGTGATGCATCCAATAGTTGTTGAGCCACACTGCTTGCATGTCTAGAAAGTTTCACACATCAAAATTCTCCCCTTTTCCCCTTACTGACAGTTTTTTGAATTATCAAGCATCTGCAGACTAATTCCTGACTCCATCTGATGTACTGATCCAAACTATGATCTCATGTGATCATATGAAACCTGCAGGTCTACCCAGATGACCACACAAGCAGGTGTTGGTTTGCAACAGCATCATCAATATGAGCAGCAGCAGCAGCATCTCCTCTGCTGCCAAAGGCTCAAATATACAGTACTTGGTCGACAGCCTAGAATGAAAACATGTCCCCCAATTTATCATGCTCCACCTCCTCCATCAGCAGGGGTAATGATGACTGAGAGGAGGATGGCATTCATTTTCACTTTACCGTGTTTGTCCAGTTTTGTTTAACTTTCAAATCAAATCCCTCTCGATGTTGCATCCTGACGCTACACGCTCGTACTTGGGAAAAAAACTGCAAAAGAATATGAAAATATCAAAGCCATTCGATTGAACCCTCATGAATTCACTTTTAATGACATTTCTACATAAGTTAGTTCCAATCATAATAACCTGTGGATCTCAGGAATCACTGGACAGCTGTTATCTCACCACAGACTAACCTACATACCCATACAAATATTTGGCCTTCTTTATCTTCTAAACTAATACGTCAGTTCCCTGACTACTTAAAATAGAAGAAACATCTATTTTGAAAAGTTGTCGTAAGCAGAACTAAATATGTTTTAGACATCAGCGAGGAAGAGTGGAAGACGCAGCTCTGAGATGCATCAGCTGAGGTGTAATTCAATAACCAGAATCACCTTGCAAGAAGTTGGACCATGAGGAAATCCATGCAGGGAGAGTGTCACTGAAACCCAGAGCAGTACATATCTGAGGTCAGGAAAAGGTTTATGTTACTCCCGTTCTACCCAACTGTTACACTCAGGACAGACTGTCTGATCTCCCAGGGAGACTCAAGTTGACAATAAAGTAAATGTCCAGTCTGCTCAGGTGTTTGTGTAAAAACACATGTAAACCTGTCAACTAAAAATCTCTGTACTACAGGAATTGGATATCTAATGCAATACAGGAAAGACTGAAAGCCACTGTGGACATGGTAAATAGAAGAAACAAGCTAAGATATAGTGGAAAGAAGTTTATGTTTTGTGGAAACATTTAATTTAAATCTGTATTATAGAGCTCTAAAACAGAAAAAGGATTTTTTTTTTTTATATAATTCACATTTGATACGATAATAAAAATTGATATGATATTAAAATGTTATTTAATGGGCATCCATCAAGTAGATGATGAGATAAGACTGGATAAGTGAAAACTACTGCTGATGGCACCAGTGAAAAGTCAGGAGATCACCAGCGTCAACAGGATTTTCTGGCCACCATGACTGTCCGTACAAGGTTTCATGGCCGTCCATCCAGGAGTTGTTGAGATATTTAAGTCTGGACCAAAGAGGTGGGCCAACTGGCAGTGCCACCATCATGACATCATGCCAGCACATTTGACGCTACAGTTTCAAAACATCAGCCTGAGCTGAGAGGAAATGTGGGATTTTTGTGCACTATAATAAAACAGGGAATGTGTCTATGAGGTACAGACACGTTAGTTAGTGACTGTCTCCTCTCTTCCTCTCAGCCAAAGATCGAGTGGTTGAAAAATCAGATGATCATCGGCGACGACCCCAAGTTCCGCCAGATCTCCAACCAGGGCATTTGCTCCCTCGAGATCCGTAAGCCCTGCAGCTTCGACGGTGGGGTGTACACCTGCAGAGCCAAGAACGCCCAGGGAGAGGCCACTGTCTCCTGCAAGCTGGAGGTCAAACGTATGTATCTCTAAAGTTACAAGTTAAAGCTGACAAAATTCTATATTAAGATTGAAGTGTCCACAAATCCTATGAAAACACCAAAACAGTAGTAAATTGTGCTTTTGTTGGGTGCTATTCTCAGTTCTGGATTTGGTGCACTAGTGAGTATTTACAGCAGGTTATCGGTGTATGTTTAACTGAAAATAAACTGCAGTGCCCCCTTTCATGGTAATGACGGAACATCTCAATCTGTACAACATTGACTCATTTATATGACAACTATGGAGGTCAGTTTGCACAGAAAAATAAATTATATCAGACTGTGAATACACAGACAACACTTGTAAGAAAGATAAACTCTTTCTTGCTTTTGGTCTTTTCATGGGATTTGTAAAGAAAAGCAGGGATAATATCACCAGACCTATCCTTTAATAGCCCTTTAATCTAAATGTTTGAATTTGAAGAACCTGCTATTTGTCCCACTTCCCTGACCCCAAACTTTCATAAAACTGTGTGACTGTTATAATATACCAGTATATAAACCCATTTAAAAACATCATCAATCTAATTATAGCAAATTAACTAAATTTAGTTAATTGTAACTATATAACTATATTTCTCTCCCAACAGAGGTTTATAATCCTGAGACTGACAAGGGGAAGGGCAAATAAACTAGCATCTAAATGCCCAGAGGTAAGGAACAAACACAAAGAAATACGCATTCAGATTACAATGTTCAGTCGTCTACTGTTTTAAACACATCACTTGTGGGAGCATATTTCCTCAAAATTGTCCTTAAATCACATCCTACTACCATCACTATGACAACACCCAGCTCATTATTGCTTTCACACATAAACCCAGTGTACGAAGCAATGCAGTTCGCTGTGATGGGCTGATAATGCTCCCGTGTCTGCTGACCCGCCATGAATTGCAGTGTTCTTAAACCCATAGCATTGAATTAAAACCAGTAACGGCTCATGTACGTATTGCACATTACAAGCTCTGCTTTTGGATGTGGTAATGTGGCAAAGATTAATGTCAGTCAAATAGAAATTCCAAATTTCATGTTTTTACAGCTTTCATGTTTCTATTTATACCCTCACTATGAGGCAGCCGCATTCGTGTTTTGGTATTGGCACTTGCATTTAAGCTTTTTAAATGCTTGAGGGGTGTAGCCTTTCAAGGAGTGCCAGGGGGCTTTGCTCACAGTGTCATTTGTACTGCTGACAAGAGAAGCCCCATTTAATTATTGTTAAAAAAAAAAGCATGAGGTGCTGAGAGAGACGGTGGAAAGATGAAACAAAGGGGAAAAAATGGGGGGAGAAGAGCAAGATATTTGAGCCGAGAAGAATGAGGAAACAGATGACAACTAGAACATGTTGGTAAAGAGATGCACCGGATAGTTGAAGATTGTAAACTGGATATTGTTAATGGTTTTATCTAACTGTAAGAGGCATACCACTCATTCTTTTTGCAGCACTGTGAAACACTATCACTTTCTATGCCTGCTGTACATGGAGAACATGTGAGCAAGAGGCCAATTACATTAAATATTTTTAGAAGTCCCTCATTTATCCTCTGATCTCGACTAGAGCCTGTTTGGACCTAGACTACATTGAAATGCATATAAATTAAGGCAAGAAATTAATTTATTCATTAATTGTGTTTTCTCTACTTGTGTAGGAAGTTTGGTCATTACTTACATTTCTACCCCTTGTGATTATTGTTCTATTAACATTGGCAAGTGTATATTCTGTAAGAAAAGTGACCGATGACTGAATGACACGACAGCTTTAAGAGCTTTTTTATGGTGTCTTAGGGCTGAGGATGCAGGGAGTGAGCAGGCTGTGTAGTAAGGAGAATGTTGTGGATTTTTTTAACTGCTGTTCAGTTACATTATTAACCATTTAGTTTATAAAGTGAAAGCAGTGGTTTGTTGTTTAAATTTGACAAAATCTTGCAATTATTTTGTATCCAATGATGCATAGCCACACGTCATTCTGTCACTTATTGCATGCACATATCATTTTAAAAACATGACCAGGTCATCATGTGTCTCCAGCCAGAATCTCGCTATTGTAACTATATTATTTTTGAATCATGAACTGGAAAAATTAAAGACGAAAAGTTGCTGTTTTCCTGGACATTTCAGAAATTAGACAACTGCAAAAAGTGGGAAATAATCAGATTTTTAAATGATACGACTACATCAGCAAATCCCATGAAAACACAAAAACCAAAAGATGTAAATCTTTGAAAACAGGTCATCAGCATGTACTTTTACTTTGGAGTTTAAAAAAAAGGTTTTTTAAAAAAAGTACCTGCAACAGCTGGGCACTGTAGTTTTTAGATGTGGATTTGGTGTACTAATACAGCAGCAGGATGGAGTACATAGGATTAATTCACAACAGCGCCACAGTGTTTTTAAAAGCTTTTAAACAGTAATGGTGTTTTAGGACACAGAGCAATTGGCTGTATCAGGCTTTGGCTACACAGGCAATATTTTCAGTATTATATTTTTGGACAAAAAAATGTTTACTTAAATTTTGACTTTTATTCTAAAGTGCATCTAAATACAGACCTGCTGATACCGCACACCCAGATGTTGTCTACATCTAGTTGACATCATTTACAGATCACACCTGGCATCAGAATTCATCTCAGAGTGACCACCTGTGATCAAATGTTGCCCCCCAGCACACATTTGCTTTTGTCTTTGGAAAAACATGACCTCTGCCAAAAGCGGAAACACTTTTTGCGCTCAGGTGTACATTCAGATGGAGATTTAGTGTCACTTTGATACTTCACCTTGAACATAGTCTCACTCCATGTCTTACTTGTTTGACGTGAGCAAATAAACTGGATGCAGTTGCTATGCAACATGCACACTACAAAGTTGACCTTCAGTACGGTCAGGGACACATGTGTGTTCATACTATACTGCAAATGGGGTCACATGCCTTCCTGACCACCCCCCAGTGTGGCTCGAGTGATCAGATCTTAATGCATCCTGGATGTATTTGGATGCGTTCACACCTGTATTTACAGCTGTCCACTTGATCAGATTACCAAAGGAGCAAGTTTTATGTCAAGTGCAAACTGCACCCTATAGATGATGTGATCATGCTTGCAAGTCAGTACAGGGTGTCGGTGGTCCCATAAGGCACAGCCATACATGGGAGGGCCCCTCAAGGGAAAAATGAGGGATTAGACAGGGAGGGCCTTTGGGTGGGGGCTAGGGGTGATGTCAGCACGGCACTCCACAGCTTCTAAAAATGACTCCAGATGATCTGACACACAGCCAAACTCTTCACATTACCATGAGTCAACAGGCTGAGTGGAGTGCTGTGAGAAGTAGGGAGAATGGGCTAAGGGGACAAAAACCGAGCCATTTAATCCTCGGTGGAAAATACACAGCGGATCTCTCACACGTACACAACATCAAGCAAATCCACAGCCCTGCACACACACTCACGCAGTTTGTTCCAGCACATTCCTGGCTGAAGTGATTATTCACACCTCGTGACCCCATTTAACCCTCTTATTGCTTTAATTATCTTTCCACCAGTGCCTTTTAAGGACCAGCAGAAGTCCAGGTCTTATGTTTTAAGGTGAGTTCATATGTGTGTGTGTTTGTTTCTATATGTACGTGTGCGTTAGCGTTCATATAATAAATCCCTCTAAGCTCTTCTGTATGTCTCTCTTATCTTGTCCAGAGTGTTTGAGGGGGTGAAAGAAGTCATGGCTGGCTGTGCAGCAGTGTGTACATAATGAAGAAAGGGACAGAACATACCAACATATCGAGTTCTACCAACAAATCCCGACTCACCCACTCACTCCAGTATGCAGGGAGGACCCACACCACCCCACCCATCCCAGTTAGCCAAATGTTGCATGTTGTTTTAGTTGGTGACATGGATGTAAGGTTATATTTACCATGTTTTTTTTCTGCCTGTGTCCTTTTGCTGTTTGTCATAGTATATACATGTACTTCTAAATAAAACAGTGAATCCTTAGACATGCTATTGCAATGCCTGTATGGATGTTTAAATAAAAATGTATTTTATTATATATTATGTGGATTTCTACATATATTTCAAAATAAGTAAATGCTTCACATTGTTTTAGGCTTGATAAAATGTTGAGGTTTATAGGATTTTGACAACCTAAAATGCATTTGAAGCACTGTAATTTTATGGTGAATTTTATGGTAACAGCCCTGACACAGACCTGCTATCTTTCAAAGGGTGACATGGTGTTATTGTGAGTAAAGGATTGGTTTGTGGAATCCAACTATGCAGACAGGTTTGGATATACGTATCTACTGAGGTTTTGAGATAGCCATCTCATTCACTCATACATTCTAACGAGTCAGTTTCTATTTATATAGCACCAAATCATATCGGATGTTATCTCAGGGCTCTTTTCATATAGAGCAAGTCTACGCCATACTCTAATATTAATTACAGGCAACCTACAATTCCCACAATGAGTAAGAACTTGGCGACGATAGCATGGAAAAACTTCTATGCAGAAACCCCAAGCAGAACCAAGCTTACGGTGAGCGGCCATCTGCCTCGACCTGTGGGGTTGAGATAGAGAGGGAGACTGCCTGGACACTCATGTGCTTGATGGAGCAAAACCAGTTAGAGCAATGCAATGATTTTCAAGAGCAGTGCCGGCCCAAACCTTTACGAGGCCCTAAGCAGAATCTGATTAGGGCAAGGGGTCGTACGTTTGGTCTCAATATTGGTAGGGCCGAAAAAACCCTGCCACGCCTCTAAAACAAAGATTGGCTTTTTTAATGCCGTCAAACAAGTGGTTTATTCAAATAAAATCTGAGTTTACATTCAGAAATGCCCATATACAAAGGTAACATATGTACATGTGTTGAATTTCCATGTATGAAATATATGTACATATGGAGAAAAATTATATGAATTTACAGTATGGCCTATATATGTTAAAATTACATGTTAAATTGGGACAATATCATACATTGACATATGTCTGGCTAATATATATACATATATGTATATAATAGTATAGTAAGGCATGACAGTCATTATATAGTATGGCATAAAATGTTATAAATACACCATAGTAAAGAAAGGCAAAAAATACAACCAAATTGTCATAGTACAGTAAAAAAAAATATCATGAAAAAGAAATAGAAGAGTAAGGCACAAAATTATAAAAACATCATAGTAGATTAAGGCATAAAAGGTCATAAAAACATCATAGTATGGTAAGGAATGAAACGACATAGTATAGTATGGCATAAAAATGTGAACAACACCATAGCATAGTATGGCATAAAATGTCAAAAAAACAACATAGTATATTAAGGCATAAAAGATGATATAAATGTCAAAATATGGTAAGAAATGAAACGAGATACTATATTAAGGCATAAAAATGTGAAAAATGTCATAGTATAGTATGTCATAAAAACGTCAAAAAAACATCATAGTGTATTAAGGCATAAAAGGTGATAAAAAGGTCATAGTATGGTAAGGAATGAAATGACATTGTATAGTAAGGCATAAAAATGTTAAAAAACGTCATAGTATAGTATGGTATAAAACGTCAAAAAAACAACATAAAATATTAAGGCATAAAAGGTGATAAAAAGGTCACAGTATGGTAAGGAATAAAATTACATTGTATAGTAAGGCATAAAAATGTGAAAAACAACATAGTATAGTATGTCATAAAAATTTCAAAAAACGTCATAGTATAGTATGGCATAAAACGTCAAAAAACATCATAATATATTAAGGCATAAAAAGTGATAAAAAGGTCATAGAATGGAAAGACATCTACTCACATAGTATAGTAAGGCTTAAAAATGTGAAAAACGACATAGTATAGTATGTCATAAAAATTTCAAAAAACGTCATAGTATAGTATGGCATAAAACGTCAAAAAAACAACATTGTATATTAAGGCATAAAAGGTCATAAAAAGGTCATAGTATGGTAAGGAATGAAA